CCCCCCCCCCCCCCCCCTTATACTCTAGCCCACGTCGCCCTTCGCCGTCGAGAGCACGTCTTGGCGACTTGGCGAGTGATGTCGCATGATCTGCATGTCCCAACGCCGACGACTTATCTGCATAGCGCGCCAGCTCTTCCGACTCCTCCTGATTTTACCCACCCCGGACACCGGGCGAGCATGGCGCCCCGCTATCTGACCCCAAACAAAGCTAATAACAGAACATCTAGAATGAAGAGAGCCGCCACGAAAAGAAAAGAAAAAGACGTGAGTATTGACACCCAGAGCGATGACACCCTGGTGTCTAGGAGACTTGACCATGCTCACTCCCTGATTTTTCTCTGACTTGCAGGAGCTCATTTCCTGATGAGAAACCCAAGTTTCCTCCCATTTTCTCAGGTTTGTCCGGGAAAAATCGTTGTTCAGCCGATTTTTTTACGCACACTCAAATTTTCAAATATCATATACTTAGCATCGCTGACTGCGCAATCGCGGAACACTGGGAAAAAAAACACATTGGATCTAGAGTCCAGACTCTCAAAAACATCGACAAGAAAAAGTACTCTTGATTCGATCAGATTTAAGCTAAAATCAAGAACCCAGCCTCTTAATTTGAGCGGATTTCCTTTTGATTTAAAGCTTAAATCTGATTGAATCAAGAGTAGTTTTGTCAATATTTTCAAGAGTCTGGACTCTAGATCCAATGTGTGTTTTTTTTTCCAGTGAAGTGCTTTTCAAAGGATCCGAAGTAACGCCACCATTGTAAACTCCCTCCTCCGTATTTAAAACTTTCCATCTACCAGCGCTTTGGTGAGAATGGAGATTGGCAGATTCGAACACATCCAACCGAAGCGGTTCACCGTTGGTGCTTCGTGTGTCCGCACTACCTAGGACCCGGGAAAAAGCGTTTGAAACGAAGGAAGTTGAGGATTACGTCACTATGCTTTGTTGAAGCGTTTCGAACGCGCTGCGTCGCTACGTGGACTTTCAGTTCCGGCCGCGGCAGTGACAGGAGTACTATTATCATACCAATTAAGCAAACACGGACGTCGAAATCGGACGGATTAACATAAGAGTAAAAGGTGTAATTGCTGGCATGGAGCTCAAGAGAGGGCCTCTACTTACCACCACTATTTTTATTTTTCAATTTAAAAAGTGAACATTCAAAACTTGGTAAAAATCGCCATCAGCCATTGCTAAGATTGTGCAAGGTGTACCTTAGTGGAAAAGAACTTGACCGTCTTCGCTCGATTGATTTTTAGGGGGAAATTTTCTCTCTTATTATGTTCACGGCCAGAATAATTACTCGTGAGGTTCTCATTAAAAATGAGAGGAATAGTTGCACAGTGTAAGCAACACCTAATGGCACTTACCAGAATTTTGAATTTCAACTCTTCGTTTACTGGTAATAAATTAACATGGTGCGAATTTTGTTTCAACCGTGATAGTTCCTGTCAATTTGGGTACTTCACCTCTCTGTATTTACTGACTTTCGCCAATCTCCTTACTTATCTCAAGAATGTCCCAGAAATAGACATTTCCAGAGGGAACAAAATGTATCGAAATTCTGTAGTGAGAGGAGTGTAAACTGAAAATCCGGTAAGCGCCATCACGTGTTCCTAGAGATAGAGTCTGATACTTATTTCTGTAAAATAACCGAATGAAGAAATGGTAATTGCTTCATGAACCTTTAAAACTAAATTTTTAAGATAAGAAGATAAATTTAGCAACAAACTATGTATACCAATATAAATTACATAAATATAGAAACTGTGCGCATAAGATTTGTATGTTTCATACATTATTGTGAAAGAATTAGTTTGTACATTGTTCCTTTTAGAACAAACACGCCCTTACATGCAGCACTTCTCACGTCTAAACACCGACCCCACACACAGGGAAAAAATGAAAGTGTTGGCTTAGTCGGGTCAGTGGGTCAAAAATAAAAATTAAACTCTCACGTGGGTGCATATAGAGGTTTTCAGCGCATCGAAAGTGCCTACGCTGAGAATATTGTTCCGAAAATTTACAGTTAACGGCTTGACCGATCGCTCAAACAGCCATTCTTTAACGTCCGCGGGATGGAGTAAAATGTTTGGCAGGGCATCAATTATGGTGGCGAGACAATGGCTTCGAGAATAATAAGCAGCTGCACGGACGCGTTTTTACCACTCATCACGTTTTCAGCTCTCGTAGTCCTCAATAAGTCCCCCATATTCTACTTTTTAACGGCCGAGTCATCCATACGCACGAAAAAACTTCACTCCAGTACGGCACGGTTAAGTTTTCGGATATGAGGTCAGACAAGTTAAGGTGACTTGTCCCCGGTGCTGGCATGGTCGAATGGCGTGCGATATGTTGCATCGACTCAATAAAGAAGCTCGGCAGATTTTGATTTTGACTCTTCGCCCAGAAGCACCGGCGCATACGAGCCAAAGGAATCAAATTCAGAGAAATGAATGCGGGGTTCTTTTTGGAGGGAAAAATGTCGCTTTCGATACAGTGATCGATCTCAGTGCGACGTTTTTCCTCAAAGAGTCATGCCTTCATTTCTTTGGATTTTGCCAATTTTTGGGATGGAAAATGATTCATTCGGCTCATGCGCCGCGGTAATGGTCCTTTTAACATACATAAAAGTCACTCCTTCAACGCACTCTGCGACATCCAAACGCCACATGTATGTGCCTGTCTTTCTGGAGGATATCGGGCAACTGACACCGCAACATCTCTTCGTCAACGCGTGCGCGTGAGAGAAGACACCAAATTTTAACTTGTGAGGTTCAACATCGACTTGTAGGGGTACTTTTTTAAGGGCTGCCCTCAAATCTTCTGATGCGGACTGGCAAGCAGGCAGGAACATTGGAAAAATTCCTTGTGGACAGGCTGATATTTACAGTCATTTTGAACTAGTTTATCTCATCCACATGGGAAAACAAACTGAAATGGCCTGGCGAAAGCACTGCTGGTATTCTTGATGACTTTTTCGGTCCCAGTCTAATGGCCTGGTTACACGATCAAATTCCCGTCAAATTCCGATCAAAATGATGACCAAGATGGCGGTCGAGAGTTATATCTAGATTGATGAGTAAAATTAATTAAAACAGCGTGTTGATTGAAATAAGCAGGAAATAAGCACGGTTGTGTGGAAATCAGATGAAGGATGAGCCCCACAGCTCCATCATCTACCATCAAATTTTTGCAGGCCGCAGAAATTTGATGGTAGATGGTGCGCACCCGTCACCATTTGATCGGAATTTGACGGGAATTTTATCGTGTAACCAGGCCATAAGTACTTCTGTTCCCATTCGTGCAGAAAATCGTCGCAATTAATTAATGAGTCACCAATCTATGATCAGGTTGTGGGTCAAACATTGAACAGGGGATATGTTTACTCAAACTGAGCCAGCGGGTGCACTACTTTTTTCAAAGCTCTCCGAGTCGATGGCTTTCAAATGACGTTCGATTCTCAATGCTCCACACTTGGGATCCTAAAACGGATAGATAGATCCCTTTCCCGTGGGAATAATGGGATCCGAGTCCGTGGTATGAGCCGGAGCTTGGGACCAGGACGCTAGCCGGGATCTAGGATCTAGGTTCCGCGCAGAAGACGAAATGGACAAACTCTCATAGGAAACCACCGTTAGAAGCCTTATTGTCTGTCCTCGCCATTCCAAAGCTCCTCGCCCGCAGCTGCCGCGCCGCCGCACGAAACGTTGCCAAGTTTCCTTCGATAAAATACGGATGTTGAGGGAAAATCGTGAGTAGGTATTCTTCTTCCGATTTTTCTACGAATTTAACCCGCAATAAAGTCAAAGTTTCGAAGGATGTCGAGGGAGATGCGAACAATGTTTCTTCAAAACAAGTATTTGATCTGTAAAAATTAGGCAATTTTGGAATGTTCATGCGGCGTTTTCCTTGTAATTGCAATACCCATCCGGATCAAGAGGCTAAACTCTAGTTATCCAGCTCCCCCCAGAAACTAATACTCCAAGGAAATTCGCCGGAAACGCTGAACGCCACTTTTAGGACAGTGCAAACAGTAACTAGCCACTGGATTACATAGCTATAGGGAGGCTCCGGTTTCCCTGGAGGGGGGGGGGGCGTGTTTGGAAACATCCACTTTGGAAACTCCATATCACCCGACCCTTCAAATTATCTTCTTGTTGCCTGATGAGTGACGTCTCAACCAATTCTTTTAGAGGACAAATGAATATCTGTTCGGAAGATTTGTATGATATTGATATGACACACTACACAGAGAAAAAGTTAAATAAAGCTAAGCAGAAAGGGCCCCAAAAAGTCAAGACGGTTCACCCAAGTAATCATTTTATTTGAATAGTTTGCTATTAAGGAAAAGGTTCCCACTTAGAAAAATATAGAATAGGAGATTACTCCTTTCACCAGTGCTAAGTATTCATGACATATTTTGATAAAAAAAAATATCCAATGATTTGGAATGAAAATTTCATGAACTCCTTCCATTCATCCTTACTTTTCATTTTTCTGTTATACATCAACTAAGATTTTTAAAAATCTATAGAATTTTGGAATATTTCTGTATCACTTTACAACGGCCGCTTCTAGATTCTGCTGCACCTGCTGACACACAGGCAGACCTCCCAAAGCTGACTTCAATAAATAGTCCATCTCATTGCCACCTTAGTGAATGGGTTTTGCTTGAGTGGGAAAAATGCGTTGACCAGACCCTTAACTGAATGAATACCAGAAGTCATGCCACAACCTGGTTTTAGAATGGTGACCCATTCACTAATTGCGACGATTTTCTGCACGAATGGGAACAGAAGTACTTAGACTGGGAACAAAAAGGCATCAGGAATACCAGCAGTGCTTCACCAGGCCATTTCAGTTTGTTTCCCCATGTGGATGAGATAAACTAGTTCAAAAGCGTCATCTGTGCATTCCCCAGAATATAATGAGGAGGGGGCATTACCCGTGGGTAAGTATGCACCTTAATATCACAGCGCTGCTCACACCAAAACCCAAATGCTGAATCCAAAGAACGCCTAGCTTTTCATACTAACATTGGAGCATCAACCGCTGATAAGGAAGCTGCTTGTATGCAAACTTTATGCCCAGTGACGTCAACACGATAACTTCTGTGGACTGAGAGCCAGCCTCCGCTCGCACATTGTCGCTCCAAGTTAACTACAGATAGATTTTGGCCGAAGTAAAGCTATTGCCACCGTTAAGAAAATTGCAATGGATTTCTGAGAGAATCCCAATCAATACCCAGTATTGGTTCATCAATAGATACACTGCAAGGTTTTCTACATTAGCACACGTACTCCATAAGTGATACATACATGTTTGAGAGGATAAGGAGAGAGATATATGTACCTTGTTCAGTATTTGCAGAGCCTTCATAACATAGCAGAGACTTATCAGCCGAGAGAAGACCTCTGAAGAGGCTATACTTAATTTTGAAAAGAAGAAAGACACTGAAGTACTTAGTAATTAATTGGTGAGTAATGATAGACAAAAATGCAGCTTACCAAGTTTATCTCCATGTGTTCACTGTAGGAGGAGAAATAATCCAAAATTATAACGAACAACACAATGTAAACCCTAAGAGAGGACAACCGATACACATCACGCTAATTAGGTATGTAAGTAGACGCGATTTGAAGACTAGAGTAGCCTCAAAGACTAAATGCTGAAGGTGTGGGAGGGAAAGGAATCCTTTGATCGAAGATGCGGATTTTCTGTTATCACTGGCAAACTTTAAAGAGAATATCTCTAATGACTGCAATTACTGAAAACGCATTTAAACATCGCTGAAAATCGAACTTTAAAACACGAACTCACGATAATAATAAAACCTACATCACAACAGAAGACACGACCAATCAAATCACCGCAAGAACTTTTCACGGAATGCGAAGCGGCACGACCCCCGTCGCTGGACAAAGATCAAAAACTGAGCTTCTGATCTGAACTTTCTTTCAATAAACCAGTCAGCGCCACCAGCGGCCAGCAACCAGCCCGGAGTACGTGAAATTCCGTCTGTTGAAATATAAAATGGAATGAACTAAGCTCTCTGATTGGTTGTTAGATGTTCATTCTGTCTACGAGGTCCAATTCTCCAATTCCAAATTCCTATTTCACTCGGGTTTGTTGACACGCCGCAAAAGTACTCTTCCCGAGGGGTATTTTCTAATTAAAGTTTAAATCCAGTTAATCGGAGGTCTCTGATGTAATCAAAGTGTTGTAAGTTCCATAAATTTCCATTCGTGTCCAGGAAAATATCTTTGATGGGTGAAGAAAATGAACATGGCTCAAAACCCTACGATCGTCCTGCGGTGAGGTCCAAAGAAACTCTCAACGCATCGCAGTCCTACAAGCAAACCTACCGGAAAGCCTGGGAAGAACTTCCAGATTTCAAAGGTGTGTATCAATTCTTTCTCTTAACTGCTCAGATATACAAGAAGCCCTGGTAACATATGTAACTGCCAACAGCCTTGGAGCCGGAGTCCCCCCATTGTCTTGCAGCGAGCAATATACTAATCCCGTTTCTAGATCATCAGATGAGCAAATATCATATTCCTGTTTTTCAGACGTTCAGATTTCTTACTACCTACCCTGCTGATGGGGATTCACCATCCCATTTGCCAATCTTAATTAATTTCCATCCTAAGGATACACCCAAATAGAGTCCACGCCAAGTAAGTTTAGAGGTGTCGTCAGAAAAGTCGGCATTTGTTTACTTTCGATTTATAAGCACAGGCCAGGAATTTACGCCTCTGAACCAAGCTTCATCTGCTGCTATCCACCTTAAAAATGTCTGTCTCATGATCGTATCGTTTTACAACTACTTATCAGCTCTGCGCTTCTTCCGCAACTTTTATGTGGCTGTGATTTCTGTGTGACTAAAAATTTAAACTTGTCAAGTATTGAAAGCATTTAAAAACCTACTGAAGCATGTGTTCTTGCTTCTACAAGAGTCGGATGTTTTCATGTGGAGTTGTGATGCGAAAACGCCTGCAAACCGAAAGTGATCAAATGTTAACTTATCCGAGGACACCTCCACGCACTTCTAGATTTTCGACAAAAGATTGTCTGACGTCACTTTTACATGTAAAGTAAATAGTAGAAGCAAGATGGCAAATCTTCTATTTCAGTTTAAAAGTCAAAAACTTATTTTCCTTCAACTCAAGTGGTCGTTATTACTAGGAGGTATGTCCCATGCCCTCTTAGTGGCTCAATCCCCCCGTAGGTGCATTGCGGGCCCTTCATGATTTTTTCTAAGTAAAGGAGGCTCATTGTTTGTATGGCTTGCTTTGAAGACTGTGCAGCTCTATTAGTACATTTAGTTTCATCTTAAATATTTTTGCTGGTGAGGAGAAAACCAATGAAGATATTTATGTAATGATTTCTCAATTTTTTATCATATGGTGGTAATGAAAATTTGGATGGTCTGTATCAAACTTCATATCTCAACCACTGCAGTAGGAATTGTGAAAGCTCTTAGAAAGTTTTTTAGGAAATGTAAAGAACAGGACTTGCAAAATATTTTTTAAAAAAAATACAGAAGTTCTAAACAAAAATTGGCTTAGATAGAAGTAGGAAAGTGTTTGGGAGAGGGACTGATGAAATGATGCTAATAAATGGAAGGAATACTCAGGAGGAAAGAGTATAGAAGGTTAGAGGCCGGACTCGACAGAGAAGAACTAAAACACAAGTTTGCTGGGAGCCAGAAATTGGGTACGTTGCCAGCGAGCTCCTCTGTTTCTATTTTCTAGCATTGAGTCGAGCCTCTAATCTTCTGTAGGTACTCTCTGCTCAAGAAGTAGAGACTGATATAAGGAACTAAAGTTGCGAAGATTGTAAAAACAGTGACTACGCGAAAAATAAGACTAAAAATTTTAAAAGAGCTTTTGGGAGTGTGTAGGGCTAGGCTAATTACGGAAATGAAAAGGATAGGAATTGAAGAAGAGTTTCAAAATTACCTGACAAAGAACCCTGGATGTAAATCTACTTGTTGCCTGTCAAAAGCTTATCTTTATAAATAAATTCCGGAAAAAGTTCCGTACTCGGGCTTATTTTCATACCCGCAAACGGTACCCCCATACAGTTCCGTACTCGGGCTTCTCTCTTTCAAGACACATAGAAAAACACTAGATGGACCGATACACACTCATGACGTAAACAAATGGAGGGAAAAGATGGTACTTGATGAGTGGTGGAACAGATGGATTGTATCAACCGGGCTTTTCGTAGATGATTCTCGTGTTACGTGTAGCATTGAGTGCCACGAGTTATGGCGGAAGGGGGAGTGGATTTCAAAAAAGCTGCGCAATGACTGACCTGTGTGGATTGGTCTTGAGTATACCTAACCTAATCTAACCTAACCTAACCTTACCTAACCTAACCTACCCTAACCTAACCTTACCTAACCTTACCTACCCTAACCTAACCTTACCTACCCTAACCCTACCTAACCTAACCTACCCTAACCTAACCTTACCTAACCTACCCTAACCCTACCTAACCTAACCTTACCTACCCTAACCCTACCTAACCTTACCTAACCTAACCTAACCTAACCTTACCTACCCTAACCTAACCTTACCTACCCTAACCCTACCTACTCTAACCCTACCTAACCTTACCTAACCTAACATTACCTAACCTAACCTAACGTTACCTACCCTAACCTTATGTCAATCTACCTTTATAGACGAAGTGTGGTCATTCGTATCTTTTTACTACAGAAAAACTACATCGTGTCAACATATTTTCACGCGACAAATGAAAAACCGGCACAAAACTGGCCACACTCTGTCTATAGAGCATACTCTGTCTATAAAGGTACTCTATGTAAATCCAACTTCCTTTAAATAAAGAAGCCCGAGTACGGAACTGTGTAGGGGGTACCGTTTGCGGGTATGAAAATAAGCCCGAGTACGGATCTACACCCTAAATTCCTTTTCTTTGTATCCTTGGAAGTCTAAAGCTGGCCATTCTAAGAAAATCATAAGATTTACACAGGGAGTTACCAGGAATTTAATGAGATCCTCTTGTATTAGTGGTTGATTTTGCAATCTGTATGATAATTTTATTATGAATCCAAAACTTCAATACAGGTATAAGTATAATGAAAAACTAAAATTAAGTCATATTTTTCCTCTTTTTTTCATTTTTAGTGGACAACAACAGCTAATCTTTTTTTAATTTAAACCATGTTACCTTTTCTACAAGTCAGTTAATGTATGTTATCTGAGATAAATCTATGACCCCTTTGAAAAAACAATTTTTAATTGAATATTGCTTATGTGGAGCCTCCCTTTCATTTTCTCAGGGGAGGGGGGGGGGTTAAATTTTAACATTTTTTGAATAACTATTAGTAGGCTGAAGAAAAAAACATTATCTCTGTATGTTTAAGTTTCACTAAGCTGTCTATCCTTATCAAGGAAGATAAATGATATTTTTCCACTTGCGTCATATGACGATGTTACTTATCTGTATCTTTGTTCTTGTTTTGCAATTTTTATTCATTCCGGGTCACTCTTAATCTGGAACCTAGTTAATTGAAGTCTCCTCACTGTACACAATCTTTCTTCAAATTTTTGCCTTTTGAAAGTGAGTGATTGATTTTCAAATGATTGAGAAGTGTGATAAGTCTTCATTCATTTATTTGTCTGGTTTTCACATTTTATTGTAATGAGTTACTATTGTTCCCATTTTTATTTTCTGGTCCAACAACAATGATATTTTTTAAGGACTGCTGCCAAGCACCACAGTCAGTATTTTCAGGGGGATTCCAAGAATCATTTCATAAACTTATTATTGAATTTTAATTTGACTCTAGCAGTCAGGAATCAAGCATTGAATCAAGACATTTTTCGTGGCAAAAATCAAGCAAAAAATTAAGTCTTCAGGAAGCTAGGCCTTTAAGTCTAAAATGCTTTATGCCCAAAAATGTTCTATATTTTGCAACAAATCAGGAACAGCTTTTCAAGGCAAACAGGCAGGATACTCTGGACAAAAGTTTAAAGATCTTGTAAGTACAAGTAGTCAAGTCACAAACAAGGTTATAAAATTGAACTTGAAAGACTCTTTTTTTCTGAAAATGTCATGCTTTCAGCCAAAAAAAAAAACCCCTGTTTTTCTCTGTTGTTATTCTGGTGTGTACATGTTATTAAGAATTAGACGGGACCGAGATGCATCTTTAGACACCAAAATTTCTGAAATCCGTCGCTCCGTTGCTTTGAAAAGCTTTTGGAACCGCAACTCAAAACCCAAATAAGCCAAGTTCGTGTAACTATGGTGTCGTTGCCTCGACCGGGCTGTGCTGTGTTGCCAATTGTTGGAGGATAGGTTACTTGCCCGGTGGTGGCTACCGCCACTCATGACTCAATGATATAAATGGAAGATTGACATTGTCAGCTTCTAGAGAATAAGTTCCCCGTGAAAAGGGAATTTACCTTTTTGCCTTCTACCGCAGAATTCCTAAGTCTGGAATAATCTATATTCTCAAATAGTTTAAATTTTTTTATCTAGGTAAAATGGGATTCCTCGGTCTTTGAAATTATATTTATTTTATATGTTGCATATTATGGTATTTTTTCTAGGGTGGTTATCTGCGGATCCTGAAGGCAACAAATCTCGAGCTTACTGTAAAGTGTGCAATAAGACACTTCATGCCCATCGAATTAGTTTACTGAAGCACACTGTTTCCTTGAAGCATACAAGAGCTTTCCAGTCTTATGCAACATCATCCAGCAGCATTGAGATCTCTTACCCTGTTGATGTGAGTTTTTTATCTTACTCATTGATTTACTTAAAATTCAGACATTCATTTACAAAACTCGTAATCTGACCAGCCAAAAAAGTCAGTACGTAAGGCAAAAAAAATCTCAGAATATGAATGGTGAATTTTGTTTGAGGTAACAAAAATTAAAAGCCTTGGTGTTTTTTTCACGTTCCCTCTCTTTCATCCCTGTGATTTCACATTTTTGACACAAAACTGTCGAATATAATTTCAATTGCAGAATTGCATGGTGACTCAATTGAAGCTGCTACATGATTCAACTTTTAAGGTCATACATAATGAGTTATTTTGCTGTTCTTTCCATTCAACTTTCTATAATTTACTTATAAGGCTTTATTTATCACTAATATGATGTGATACTCTCGCCCTCTGAAACCAGCATTTCACAACATCTTAAACATGATAAATCAATGACTATTATAGATGAAAACAAAACAGTTCTCACTGCCTTTCTTTGGAAAACTGAATATGGGGTTAAAGCACTAACAACTAACCAAGTTGAAAAACTAAAACATGAGAAAGAACTAAAAAACCACTGAAAGTCGATTACATGGGTCAGTAGCTTTTGTTTGCTTGAATCGACTTGAAATTATTTTAACATATAATTTTTTTTTTTTTTTGCAGCATCTTCGGAAAGCGGCAGAATCTGCTCAAATTCTCGAATATCAGACGGTTAGTGAAGGAGATTTCAACGAGTCCTCTCACAGTAATTTGAACGAAACTCTAGAAGGGGAATGTTCCAGTAATCAAAACATTACTGACACAGATGCCATAACAATCCAAATCATGGACCCTTTGCAACAGAACCCCCTTGAAGCCCATAATTCACAAGAAGAAACTGCTCTGAACAGAAATGAAGTAAGCTTTTGGGTTATTAGTTTACTTTTGCCTCTATCATTGTTCAATAGGTGTTTCCTACATCACACAATACAAATATTCCTTGCATTTACAGTGTAAACCATGAAAGTGGCCTATTGCGGCAACATAGTGCATAGTAGCCAAAAAGATAATATTTCTTTTCAGTAACATACAAAATATATTGAATTAAAACCAGGCTTGACAACTATGAATTTCTTATCTTAAATCAGATTACACCATTCGTGATTTACATATTATCAACAAAAATGATGTGTCTCCTCAATGGGCATTTTCCTTTTTTGGTGGACTTCTAAATTTTTATAGAATAAATCCCTGACAAGTGTGAGCTGCTCTGTCCGCTCTTTTAGTACAACCCTTTTTTCTGTGGTTATTTTTCTGTCAGTTCATTATCAGTAAAATGGTCATTACCTGTCTTCACGTCATTGCTGCACGTCATGCTACTGCTGATGTATTGAAACCAAAATTGGTGAATATTACTCTATCTTGATCTTACTTCACCTGCCAATCTTGTTTTTTTAAAAGTTAATCTGACCCTACAAGTATCCTTGAAAGCTCCTCCTTTTGGAATTGAAAGAAAGTTCAGAATATCAAGTGGTGATTTAGTCATTTACTTAATCTCTTAAAAATTCATTATAATCTAATTTTCTCGGTGTCCAAAAGCATCATACAAAAGGGTTCGCTTAAACCTCAAAGTATGCCCCCAGTTAAAAATGTATGTCTTTTCAAATTTTTTTTCTTCAAATTTAGCACTGCTCATTCTAAGACCTTTCTAAAGAAAAATACTTCCACTGCAATGAATTTTATCAATATTTTGATTTTCGACGATACAATTCTTGTTTTAGAATGTGAAGAATATCATACCTTTCATTGTAAATAGCTCTAAAGTGGAGACCCATGTATAGGGAAAGTGGATAATGTATATGAGGACTTAAATGTAACAATGGGCCTGTCGCAAACTTTTGCCAGAGCAAAACTAAGAGTCGTTTCCTAAAAATAACGCCTCAAAAATCACGATGAGCGCATCAGCAATGTCTAAAATGTACTCAAAACTTCACAATCTGCGCAAGAAATGCATTTTTTTAGCTTCCCGCTTCTACAACAATACTTTGGCACAGGTGAACATTTTGTCAAAGGAGTCCCTTCATATTCGGCAATATTCATCATGGCCGACGCTTCCGCAGTTCCGCGTGTAATTCGAGGAGAGATAAGGTCAATCAAGGCAGGCGAGGAAAATATGAATGTAAACACGCCGACTGTTACCCGGTCTTATCCTGGTCAGGTGTTATCTTATCCCATTACTCGTGTTTTGGCGGATTGAAGTCAACCATGATGAATGTTGCCAACAATGGAGGGACTCCTGTAACGAAATGTTCACCTGTGCCGTAGTATTGTTTTTGAAGCGGGAAGCTCAAAAAACTGCAAATTTCATATGCAGATTGTGAAGTTATGAGTACATTTCAGACATTGCCGATGCGCCCATCAAGATTTTTGAGGTTATTATCTATAGGGAACAACTCTTATTTTTGCTCCAGCAAAAGTTTGCAGCAGGCCCATATCGGTCGCTGACATCCGCCATTTTTAGGAAAAACGCTTTTTTCGAATCCTGGAGTCCTCAAGAATGTCTGTGCAAAGTTTTAGACTTAATAATTAGATTTAATAATTTGCCTGAACAAACCACCCAAAATTAAGATTCAAATAAGTCTTAAATAAAATTTATAAATTCTAGAAATTTTTTCAACAATAATTACACCACACATGTAAGCCAAAAGAATTACAGTTCCTCTTATAAAAAATTCCAGTTCCAGTTCTTCCAGCGCAATTTTTGGGCAAAATATGAACTGAAAACCATGTTATTTGTAAAAACAGCGGATATGAGAATCCACTGTTTTCCCCGGCTGGTGCGGCTAGACATCATGGAGATTCGAACGCACTTGCGATAACTACCCACACACCGGCCATGGGCTGAAGCTGACACTCAAATGATACGTATCTATCGGGACAGTCTCGGCAGAATTGTTGATTTTTTAACCGATTTTGTAATTTTTTCCCTATTTTTGTTGTAGAAGTTACAAATGGTTTAGTTTTTTGTTCAATTTTATCAAATGACTCAGCCTTGACTTACTTTGGGTTCATTTCAATCGTTTAACCAGCCTTACCCTTCCTGAAGACTTTGATGCTTGAAAAAATGTTCTTAGTAAAAGTAGCGTAGTCACATTCTTTTCAAATCGCGGTTACTCCCTCAATTTTTGCTTACATAAATCGTAAAATGCATGTTTTTTACAGGAAGAGTTGCCCTTCATGAAAAGCTTTATAAGAATCCTCTCAGTTCTATGGGCGGCAAATTAAAAAGCTTCGAAAACTTCAAACGCGATTTTCTCACAATGTGAAAACTCGACATCCATTATTGTTACATATAAGCCCTCATATGTCAATAGCTTCAGTCTAAAAATGCACCTTGGTGTTTCTAACCAATTTTTTTAATGATATTATTTTAGATGGCAGTAGATGTGTCTCAGCCTCTCGCTATCACCAACACAGTCTCTCTGCAGAAATCCCCCATCACAACACACGTCCTGGATTTATCAAGAGGCCTACCCGTCAGTAACCTATCAGTTTCTTTGTATCAATTGGTCGATGGCAGGTGGACCCATATCAGCGATGAGTATGTCCTTTTCTATTGCTTCTAGCCATGAACAGATAATATTGCACAAATATTCAATAGTTAAAATACAAATAAAAATTTTCTGAATTTGATGACATCAAACTTTGATTTGCTACAATATTTGATGCCAATTTTGATTCGAACCATTCAAGTATTATGATTATTCAAGTCAAACCAAGAAAACCACGACTTAAAATGATCCATTATAAATCTGATTCAATTTTTAATTAATTTTGAGAAGGTTAAAAGTAATCGATACACCTGAAGAAAATTAAACATTGGACCAGGTATCAATTTCTTTCATTCTTTTCGACATTGATCAAAAAATTTAATCAGATTTGTAATCAACCATGTTGAGTCAATGGTGCTTTGCCTTGAATCACCGTCAGACTCAAATCAATATCCAGGGTCATCTCAAAATTGGCATCAATTTTTTTGCGCATCAAATTGTATTTCAAATTTTGATTTAACAAATTTGGAAAATAATATTTTCAGATGAATGACTTACTTTATTACTTTTAGCTGGCTGACACAAAAAGCTATACAAAAAAATTATCTCTCGACTGAGATTAAAAACCAAAAGATTGGAAAGTAGGGATTGTTAGTGCGGACAAAAAGCTGATACAACCATCACATAGACTAAAATTAGCCATTTTGTCACAACTTCGTAAGTAATAAATTCCTGTCAGAACTTCGAAATTGATCAAAAAATTTAATCAGATTTGTAATCAACCATGTTGAGTCAATGGTGCTTTGCCTTGAATCACCGTCAGACTCAAATCAATATCCAGGGTCATCTCAAAATTGGCATCAATTTTTTTGCGCATCAAATTGTAGTTCAAATTTTGATCTAACAAATTTGAAAAATAATATTTTCAGATGAATGACTTACTTTATTACTTTTAGCTGGCTAACAAAAAAAGCTATACAAAAAAGTTATCTCTCGACTTAGATTAAAAACCAAAAGATTGGAAAGTAGGGATTGTTAGTGCGGGCAAAAAGCTGATACAACCATCACATAGACTAAAATTAGCCATTTTGTCACAACTTCGTAAGTAATAAATTCCTATCAGAACTTGCTTCTCTAAAGTTTTTTCTCCCTCTTTTTCAATTATTACAGTGTAACAAATGGTGATGGACGTGCTAATAGTCTCCTATTAAAACCAAAGGAACTGAAACCTGGACGATACAAATTACACTTTGATACAGAGAGGTATTACGCGATACGAAATATCAACCCTCTGTATCCATTCATTGAGGTAAGTGTCAATTTATTCTTATCCTTTTGAGGGTTGAATTGTTCTCAAACAGGACCAGGAGAGCTTTATGACTTGGAATTTTGGATTTTCTTGTGGTCAAATATGCAGAGGTATAGAAAACACGATATATTGATCCATGGATAGCAGCAGATGCTAAACTTTTCAGTTTGAGAGAGTATCCGATGAGTGATACAATGAGTAATTTAAGAAATGAAAGCTGAAATTTTTGGGGGCTTTTGCTAAAAATTTTGACGAAATCAAGAAATTTTGGTAAAAATTTTGAGCACACCTTCTATTACCTTGGATTATGAGGGGTGCAAAAAATGCTCTTTAGCCGAACTTTTCACGCAATCTCAGATTTTTTCCGTAGCCCTTTCCCAAAAATTTCCTCTTCATCCCAAATTTCTCAAGGCGACAAATTTTTTTTTCCTATTCCAAAGATTTTTTTTGGTGTTGTTTTGGCCAAAAATAGTTTCTTTTTCCCAAAGGATTTCTCATGGATCATGTGATCCATGAATTGCATGATTAGACAGATTTTGCAACCCTGGGGAGTACTATCTTATAGGGATTCAATGTAACTGTTGACTCAAAGTAGTATATCATGGCTAAAGGCAAACTGCCTCTCCTCCTTTCAGAATTTGTATTTCATTGTATGATAAGTCAATTTTTATTTTTTAATGAAGATAAAGGTTAAATTTTTCGTACCTCTTGATTTTGAAAGAGTCCATTCAACATTAGGCTAGTAACCTTGGCTGTCGAGGTGAAGACACCCTTTTTTAGATAATATTGAGGGAGGAAGACTTAAGAACTAAAAAATTTGGATTCTCTTGTGAGCTGATGCCATTTTCAACTTTCTGAAGAACCAAGTCTGGTAAGGGTGTACTTTCAATCGGTTGCTATGCAGTATAATTTCTTTTCAGTTGTATATTTATATTTTTTTTAAATTTTTTTTCCCTTTGAAATTTTGTTTCCCAACATTTTATATTGTATACAGTTATTTTTGAGGAACCATTATCAATCGAATACCTGTCTGTTTCAGATAACTTTTGATGTCCGATCACCACAAGGGCACTATCATATTCCCCTCTTGATGACTGGTTATGGTTATACAACTTACCGGGGGAGCTAGAAGAAGCCTTCTTCTCGTTATTTTGTTTCTTTCTCATCCTTTTCATCATCAAGATAATTTAAACTAATACTGTTGAGCGATCCAACTAGCTGAAAAAACTGAGTTTTCCACTTTCAGCTTATAGTAAATAATGTACGCCTGTGTGTAATGTAATTTTAAGAAAATCTGTGAGTGCGCATTCAGAAATTCAAAAGGACGTTTCATGCAGTGTTGCCCTCTTTAGTCTCGCAAGTAATCATTTTCTTGCACTCATCTAACATTTAAATAATTTAATGGTGTTTTTTGGTTTCCCATTTTTCTATTTTTATCTTTTCTAGTTAGATTTTAAGTGAGTTGGGAGGTAACTCCTTGGAATCTTGAGTATTCTTTCTGAAAGTTAGGAAATTTTATACATGGTTGTTTTTAATGAAGTTTTGAATGAAAGGTAACTGTACACAATGTCCTCTTACTTTTCCCCTCCTCCTATTTTTCTATATAATAGTGATGACAAACTCATTTTTAAGTCAATGATCTCTAAAATATGTTGAAAAAATTATTACATTGATCACGTCTAGTAATTTCTTGCCTGACAGTGCCTGGTACCTGAAACTGTAAGGCCCATCCCTACCTACCACCACTGTAAAAAAGTACTTGGTCAGTAACTGCGGGCACTTGATAGAGTGGTCCACAAAAGAAGTTGGGCACTTTCGCTAATTTTCGACCCCTCCCTCCCCCATGTCAAGTTTTTTCTCCCTCTCCTTCCCGCATTTAAAAGGGTTCGTAAAATAGCTCTACACCTGCCTCCCCAAGCCCCTATTTTGTTGAAGGACCTCCAGTTGACCTTCAATTCACTCTGCTAGTTTGTACTCCTTTACTTATTTGATTTTTAAGGAGACTTTTACACTTTTTCAATTAAGTTTAAGAATGGGGGGGTCGTTAATCAACTCAGTGTGAAAGTAGATGGAATTTCAACCGTGTCAAAAGCTGAATTTCTTTGTAATGATCTCCCGTTGACTTGTTCTACAAAGACAATCAATGGCTCTGATTGGTGCTGGCACAGGAACTCAGAGCAGAAGCCTGTAATTTCTGAAAGGAAGTAAAAAGAAGATCAACAAAAAATGTATCTGTTTTCCATTGGTTCACTCATTCAATGTCTTTTCCTCCTTTATGAACAGGCTTGAAAAGAAGCACTGTCCACAGGGAAATCAAATTCTTTATAAAGAAAAAGGAGCTCAAATAGGAAGTGCCAGTTGAAAAAGTAATCAATCACCTATATTTTTGCTGTGCAAGGAGTGATCCCAAATGATGATCCACCGTATTAGACTAGTTTTTTCCATTCTTAATTTAAGTTTCCTTTCTGTGAACCGTGACTTGTCAGAATCGCTGTTTTGGTCAGAGAAATTCATCAGGGGAAATAAAATAACCTAGATCATGTACTTCTCAAACTTTGTTTATTCTATTCCTCTCTTCAAACTTCAAATAAAGCAAAATACTGCTCTAATGTTTTGTTTATTCTTTCCATTTTTATTTTGATATAAGTCTAGTCCACAAAGTGGCATGTGGAGCAACATGTAAAAATTATACACCATTTGGAAGCACAGTAAAGACCTCAATTTGTAAGAGACTGAGAAACTGACAAATCGATCTATTAAATTGCAGAATCTATCCATTCGTCTTAGCTGAACGTCTTCGACAGGATTGGAAGATCCATCCGATAAATCGAGGTCTTACTGTAAGAAGGTATAAATAAGTGACCCTGGCTTTGCAAGAATGTTTATAAATTATTTTTAAAAAATGGTAACTGTTTTCCTGCTGTCTTTTACTGACTCAAAGTAATGACTGAAAGAATGAAAAGTGTTTACAACATTTAACACGTTTGCGACCGACTGGTAAATATTAGTCTAAAGAATGGTTGATCTGTGTCATGACAAATTAAGTTATGATCTCACCACTCCACAAATATCTCGAACATCAAAATCTGAATTTTTAGGAAGTAAAATTCTTTGTGATGTCCGATAAAGGGTAAAAACTAAAGTTTCTAGCTTTTCCACCTTTTACTGTCTAAGAAATTTTCTGAAGAACAGTACGACTAGACAATACATGGTCATAGTCCAGAACTCAAGGGTAGGAATGAAAGGAAAGGGGTGAACATCCTTTATGATAGTAAAATTCACAAAATACCCAAGCAAATTGCCAGGGTCACAAGCTCAACCCTCTCATTGATCAAGAAATCAATAATAAAATTGTGAGCAAAGTCCTCAATGATAACGGGAAATTTTTATTTAGTTAAATCCTTGAGAGAACCTAAAACGAAAACCTCAGACGTCTCCACGTAATTTATATTGAGCGCCAAAGGATAGCTTTTTTGCCAAAATGTAGGAAAGCCCATGAGTTGTTATATTAAAAAAGATACTTTTAGTATTAGCATGGCAACGTTAATTATTAAGCTCGGCTTTCTTTGTCTCTTTTCCGTTGAGCGTTGAGTTCCTGCTTACGTCATCAGCAGTTATTCATTGTGGTAGCAATGAAGAACAAACACTGCGTTGACCTGCGATGAACATCGATGAGCTCATCAGAAAATTCTGTTGACTTTGGTTATGCACCTGATGTCCATAAGATAATGATAATCAGCTGATCAAAACATTAGAACCAAGGGTGTTTTTCTCCAACCACATCGCAATTACATCGTTATCGTCACAACGTACAACTAGTTAAGAAAGAAGTGCAGGCAAGTTAGGCCAAGTTATCCGCGTGCTGTCCGAAATTTTGCCGATTAATTTCTACAAAGTACTCGTGATTTTGTGACTCATTTTTCTATTGATCACTTAGCATCTGAAGTTTAGTTTACCGTGAAAATTTCGATCCACTCGGCATTGAGCATCTAGATGAGGAAACTTCCCACTAGCTGAGTCTTCCAGTATATCAGGAATCACTCTTGTCTTCAGCATCGGCCAAAAAGTCATAACACAGCACAATGATTTACACTTGCAAGTGCCTGAACGTGGAGATTCACGCAAAATGCGTCAAGCTGGAGTCAGTTTATGAACTGTTTCCAGATTTGATTCTGGAGAAAAACGACCCGTTCTTCAAAGAGGTATATGTTCGCTCAATTTTTTACTATTGTATTTTAGCTCCGGTTGTCTATAAGACCATACAGCTCTTGCTAATGCTCCTGATTAATACTTCCAGGGATCAGCATTCTTTGTAGCGCTTCATGTTGTGCTCCCAATCATGAGCGAACATCAACGTTTGATCGGCCAAGTTTATGGATTGCTTCCCCTTCCCTCACCATATCCGCTTTAACAGGAGTAAGGGACCGAGCCTTTCTGATGATGCGTATTCTCTTCGAATGCTTGATATATTTTGTTTTTCCTTCTGTTAGTTGGAGCCTACTCTTCCTTTGTTCTCTTACCTAACTATTCCTTAGTATGCTGTCAGCATTATTATTCTGTATTCGGAGGTTATCTACTACAATGTTCAATGGGCAATTTTAAGGCTGTCAAAATTATGTTGTCTCGCCCATCTTACACTCAAGGGAGGGTCTCTAAAGGATCCAAATCCAATAAGTACTTACCACCTGCTTTCTAATGCAACTTCACTGTTCAGGAACGTATTCTCTACCAATATTTTGAAGTTGATGATAGTTTTCCATCCACCCACAACTCCTTCAAAATTTTTTTGCCTGATCACTATATTGATTTTAAGTTAGCCTTCTTCACCCAAGTTGAGGTCCTCATGATGTAAGACGCAAGACACAAGAGTGTAAACCCTGTAACTTATTGTTTCGATCAGTTCCCGGTATCAACATTTTCATGTCTACATTGGTTCAAAGCATTTTAGAGGTGGAAAAGTCGAATCTCTGAGGAAAAGATCCTCTTTTCAATCTTGAGGTAGGTAGTAGGAATTGATCATGAATTATGGTCAAAAGTGAGGCAAGCCCCCTAAAAGTTGATTACTTGGAAAGGCTTGAAAATTTCTGCATCGCAAGTGGAGAACTGATTTGTAATAGTCAAAGCTTCTCATTTTTTGTGTGAAACTTTCCGTAAGATGAATCGAGAACAGTAACTTGTACAGTCCATCAACCTCATTTTGATATATGAGGACTTCTCTGTAGCAATAGCGGATGTGAAAAATTACCTTTTCGGAACACATTCAAAAAACTGTTATGGCATCGAGAAAATTTTGAGAAAATACTTGAGATGTGATCTTCGAGATCGGTAAATTATGCCAGAGCCAAACATATTAAATTTTCGTGTGAACAAAACAGCTTTTTAAACATGTTTCAAAAAGGTAATTTTTCACATCCGCTATTGTTACAGATAAGTCCTCGTATAATTAATCATGAGTTACCTGGATTTGTTTAAAAAGATTAGACCAACAGAAAGTAGATCCTTATCCCAGGAGTGCATAATTATATTTTAGAATTGATGAGTCCAAAAATGAAGTCTAAAGTATGGCTGACAAAATTACTTCGGCTGTAAGTATTTTTGACTCCATGATTGAGCTAATTAACTCCAAGATATATCTTATACTTTTGAGACACGGATCCACTTCATGCTGATTGGAGTTTTTGAAATCAACCTGCGAGTAAAGCTCAGAATAATCATTTATCAAAATCGCGTCGAAAAAAACAAAATTTTGCAAGTCTGGACTCACCATAATTTCTGCTCGACTGATAATGAATGTCATTGAAAGTGTAGCAAATATTAGACCTAAATTTCATCTGAAAACGGATAAAGAAATGGATTTTTCTGTCTTGTTCCCAGGATCTTGTAGGAATTCAATTTGAGAAAGTCAATGTTCAACAATGCAATTTGGTCTCAACAAGGGAATGCGGGTCTTGGATTCTGAATTACTGTATTAATTGCTCAACGAATACCCATGCTGTATCTCTGGAAAAGAACACTGTAATCCTACTTGTTCACAAAAGTCTCATGGTAAGTCCTAGGACTCAGCTCCATCCTTCTTTCTCTCCAGGCATTATCGCTCCATGAAATATTTTCTTGGCTTCAATGATAAATTTTTAGAGTGTCATCCATTTTAAATACTTTGCATTGTTACTGAGAAAAATTTAAAAAAAAAACAATTATTTCACTTGTAGGTATGAGTAGGTATTGGTATCAAAGAAGAGGCTGAAACTGAACTTTCATACTTATCATTTTCGGGGTGGCTGCTTTATTCTTTTTTAAATTCATTTTGTGACAGTACCTAAAAAATGAAAGTACCTGGGTATGTACTTCTTGTTACAATTCATTTTTCATGCAATCTTTGCCGAAGTTCTTTTGCCGAATTTCAAGAAGATAAAGATTTTGTTGTGCCAACAGACTTCGCGGCATCACATGGAGAATTGACAGGGATGCACCCTCTTTTTGTGCTTGTTCAATTACTCTCTGGTTGCAATATTGTAAATGAGGGGCTTGGAAGACAAAACGCATAAGTACAGTTTTTGAAAATATTGAGATATTAATGCTTTCAACGAAACCTAGTCTGAAAATATACTCACTAAAATATTTATGACTAGGTACAATCCAATTTTTAAGTATAAAAAAGTGAGTTTGACCTGTCTTTCATATGGCTCCATGTAATTTTGAAACTTTAAACACGCGCTTCTCGAAGTAGCAAAAACTGCACGAATGTGCCTTGTTCTCCAATCCTGTCAAATATACCTCCTCTCTTAAAAACATGAAAATAACTGGTCTGTGTGCCAAACGTATAATTTCAAGAGAACACATTTAATTTACACACAAGAAACATTTAACAACATTACATTTTACATTTACATTTACATTTTACATTTAACAACATTTAACATTTACATACAAGAAACATTTAATTTAACTGTAGAGTTCTGAATATCAATAAATCGCCAAGCACCAACATTTTCTAAGTCTCTCTCCTAAGAAAATCAATTAAAATGTTCTTGTAAACACAAAAGAAGCACTCTTGCTTGAGGTTTTAGTTACAAAAAACTGTGACTATTCAAGTCATGCATAAATTGTTTGTCCTGTCTTGGTTTTCAGCGCGATCCATCAGAAGTCTCTCTCCTAAGGTTATCTGAAAACTTCTCTCCTGTCTTCAATATTATTGTTGATCCTGTGAGTGATACTTTGTCTCCCATTCCTGCCAAACTCTCTGGTGAGTCATGCTTGATTTTTACCGCCGAAATTTCTATTCATGCCGGTACCTACAATGCTGACAGTTATTTACTTTCCCCTTGAAAGCAACAAGGCTATCAATGTTATCAATAGATGCCACACCTGTAAAAAATTGAGTATGAAACATGAAAGTCCTTTAGGTGACAAAATTCATAGAAGTCCTTAACTCAATGAAAGAATCACAAGTTCGGCACATAAAATTAAGGGCTTCAGCCAGAATGTGTGAGTGCTTTCACAGTGCTAGACATCTGAACAGAATTTTTTTTTAAATACTGCTCATAGTCAATTATTATATTAGACAAATCAATAATGGTACTGTCGATAATTTTAGGCTACATTCATGGCAAACTAAAGTGCCTTTTGATTTTTACTTTGAAGAGCTACACTTCATTCTATTGTTTTGTTTACAAGTGTGGAAAATCCTTTGCTGCTGCAACCGTTCTTTATGAATAATGTTCCTGAAGATTTTTTGAGCTTATTGCTGGTCAATGCTCACTATAAATCAGTCTGTGTCCTAATCTGTTATAGTATTCAATACAATGAGAAAGATAAGTCATTTTTTCCCCAAATTCTTTGTGTTAATACGACTTTCTTGCACAGATCTGTTCGATTAATCTGTGCCCACCGACCAAAATTTCAAAATCTGATGATGGTTTCACCTATCAACTAAAATAAATTTCCCACTAAAAATAATTAATGCATTGTTTCTTTTGTTCATGAACAGTTTCAAAATCACTGCAACCGGCTCTAGCTACACTCCACCGTCAGTTGGAAAACTACATTCAGCAAAAAACAGTAGAAACAGAACAAACAATTCAAAAATTCAAGGAAGAACAGTACTTGAAACTGGATAATATGAAAACTCTAGCTCTTCAAAACCACCAAGCTCTAATGAGGTATGCTGCAAGGAATTTTGAGAGCCTGCTGAGGCAAAACTTGTGACACAACTAAATTGAAAACTCCATCCTCTGAAGAATTATTCTAGATATGTAGCATTGATTTGACCTATCAGTCAAGCACTTGCTAGTTCTTTCTGTAAATAGGCTGCCGAAGCAACTCAACTCTTCCTAGTCTGGAAAATTTCAAGATAAAAATTAATTTTTTTAGGAAATAAATGTGCAAAAATTTGCTGGTCAAACAATAAAATAAGGAAATATCAAATTGCTGTGTGACAGCTAAGCCTTGGAATTTGAGGATTTCTCGGTTAACTTCACTGAAGTTTTCACAGAATTTTAGACTCGTTCCTAAATGGTTCTGGGATAGAGGACCGTTTGCTTGGTCATCCCTGTGCACATCTAAGGATAGAGTTCTGATCTTGGCTGCATCTGAAAGTAAATGAAGCAATATCTGGAAAATCTTAGCTGAGTTATTTTTGAAGGACTTATAAAATAGGTGAACAAATTAAAAAACATCCAATATTGAAACAATTCCTTCTGAAAAAACATGCTTTGCACCAAGTTTGAGTGCCTTTGATCCCCCTGTTCATGATTATTTAGCGCTTAAAAAAGTTCTTCAGAAGTAATTTAACGATGCAAATCAATTATTTTTTGTACATCTTCTCTTGAGACGGATTAAGTTGAAAGCTTTATCTTCAAGTGTTCAAATGTTAAACGCAGCGAAAGTCACTTTTGAAAATAGCCTTTCATCAAAATTAAGAGTGTTTCATTGATAGCGTGCTTCATGATTTATGACAAGCTTTCAGGTGTGACATGTTTCCATGTCTGAATACGCATCTAAATTAATACATTTTTTTGTTTCTCTTTTAGGGTACTAGTGGAATCAAACTCATCATCAAATAGTTCCTTTGAATTGAGTACAGAAGACTGGCAACCTTTAAATCCTGCACCTAGTAAAGTGGAGAAGCCTCAGGTAAAGTTTTTTAACTATCAATAACATTCTTATTCTTAATTGCTGATGCCTCCTGGCATCCAGGACCTGTGCCAACTTTTAAATGCTGATTGGAAGTTCAGAGCGCATTCAAAGCAAATGCTTCTAGAATTTCTAGAACCATCCTGAGTGTAGCTAGTGGCTGTGGCTTGCCCTGCCCAATCCTTGGCCATATCGTATCTAAGCTTATACAAGAAGAAAACTTATTTACTTACTTTTCACAGATAAATTATGGCTGAAAATCTTCAGTGTCACTTGAAAAATATTCTATGCATTCATAGTTGCCTATTTAAATCAAGAAATTGAGCTCAGTCGAAAAAACAGATTTTTCCTAATTTTTTAAATACCTCCCATTAGCTTACTCTTTCGATTACCAAAACCCACAGCTGTGCGTCATGATATTAGGGTAACATGTTTTTGAAAGGCTGGATGGAACTCCATTTCAAAGTGCCTCTGCTCTTCTAGAGTTTTTTTTTTCTATGTTCCTGTCCTTTGAAAATGTTTAAAAAATACAATGAACTTTCCAAATACCTCCAAGTTTTAGGAACTGAATGGAAAATCAAATTAATGCAACAAATCCATCAGATTCACAAATCTAGAACTGATGTATTACATAGTTGTTGTTTCAAAAATTCAAAGTGGAGACCTCATCGATGAGTGATTAATTTCTGTTCGATTTCTTTCAGGTCCTGAAACAAAGTTCGTCCATTCAAACTCCCAGTAAATCGGAGATGAATTTCTCACCAATTAAAGGGAGTCAGCCAATGGCTATGGCTAGACCGAGAGTATTGTCAAACTGTGTTGCTGCGTCGCTTGACTCAGAAGGACTTTTCACGCTGGAAGGGATGGAAGACGAGAACACAAACATCGAGCAGCCAGTTGCCTCTGAAGATGAGCTGAGCGATACTGACGGTATGTCTCTTTCACCCTAGGTTTTCATTTATATGACTGTTTATAGAAAAAGGAACTTCAGTTCATAGCTGTAATTGTTCCAGGAGAGTGATTTTGGTCAGGTTGAGTCTAAACTCATTTTTTATGGAAAACTCTCTTGTGCCCCAAAAAATGAGTCGCAAGTGGTTTAGCTTATTATTTTTCTTTAGAGGTTGTAAAACTGCATTATTGACAGTTAAAAACTTCAAGCAGCCTTTTTTCTGATCAGTTTTTTTTTTCTTAAAAGCATTAATTCTTTTTTTTCCTGAAGGAGTTTAAAACTGTCTTAAATTTCTCTGCTATACCATGCCAATTTTAAGGAAATATTTTTTTCCTTCAAATGTTCCAGATTCAGGTAGCCATGATGAAGGCATCCATATTCCCCGCCGAAGACTGTCCTCGTTTGCAAAGTCAATGCCAGTCAACGTTCCAGTTTTCGATTTTGAAGGGCATGATGACCGCAAGAAACTTAATCGACCTAAAGTTAGTATTTCCTTTCTGCCAATCATTTATTTTTTCTGTTTCTTAAGCTCTGGTTTTTTACACTTCAGCCTTTTCATGGTAACAAGGTTTAAAACGTTGATACAAAATGGCGTATTTAATCAAATCTGAAATACCTATTACAACAGTGATAAGAAAATCATGACAATGATGAGCGCTATTCAGAGGGCAAAACGAGCTGTTTTAAATCAGTCTTTACATCTCAAAAAAGTCGTTCGCTATTCAAAAAATTTTCATGTCTATTATATGTAAATTCTCAATCCAAGTAAACCAGCGAATTTCTATGATGATCTCTAGTTATCATGCGGGAGAAGAATGGGCCTGTTGCAAACTTTTGCTAGAGCAAAAATAAGAGTTGTTTCCTATAAATGATGCCTCAAAAATCACGATGGGCGCATCGGCAAAGTCTGAAATGCACTCATAACTTCACAATCTGCGTAAGAAATTTGCGTTTTTTTGAGCTTCCCGCTTCAAAAACGATACTCCGGCACAGGTGAACATTTTGTTAGAGGAGTCGTTCCATCGTCGGCAATGCTCATCATGGCCGACGCTTCCGCAGTTCCGCGCGTAATTCGAGGAGAGTTCAGGGTCAATCAAGGCGGGCGAGGAAAATATGAACGTAAACACGCCGATTGTTATCTGGTCTAATTCTGTTCAGGTGTTATCTCGTCTCATCACACGTGTTTTGGCGAATTGGCGTCGGCCATGATGAATATTGCCAACGATGGAACGCCTCCTCTAACAAAATGTTCACCTGTGCCGTAGTATCGTTTTTAAGGCGGGAAGCTCAAAAAACCACAAATTTCTTACGCAGATTGTGAAGTTATTAGTGCATTTCAGACTTTGCCAATGCGCTCATCGTGATTTTTGAGGCATTATCTATAAGAGACAAATCTTAGTTTTGCTACAGCAAAAGTTTGCAACAGGCCCATTCATGCGTAGGTAGTGACTGCAGCACAGAAAGCTGCACGAATGTAAATCATTTTTGGGTGTTCAACTCTCCTAGGAGAATCATGTCAAGAATTACCCTTTGCTAATTTGAGGACCTTCAATCCAACTGTAAGGTCAGAACACTGGGGTGGCCGAAACCTCCAGATCAAAAGCTTTATTTATTCAGCAGATTTTTTCATCAACAAGACAAAATATAATGATTAGAAAATTAAAATATGGTACTGCCAGGGGTGCAGATAGTTCTAAGCTTACCTTCATCCTCAACCAAAATTCATGATCCCGTCTCATTATAAACAGAAAAAATACCCCTTTTGCCCCAAAAATAGGATTTTTTCAATGCTTAAATGCTATATTTTGCACTAAGTTATCTCATTTTACCCCGTTTTCCTCTTTCTTGTAAGTGCTCCCCATTTCACGCGACTGGCACAAAACTAAGCTGGTTGCATGGTTGGGGAATTTCTGCACCTCTGTCAAATATTGTGTTCCCAAAAGCGTAGTAACTATTTTCAACTAATCCTCATAAAATTGTTTTTTTACAGTCACCAGCCAAGCCTGCTGAGATAGCTGCCAGCATGAAAGCGCTCGCTAAAAGTGTTCATGGTGACACCGTTTTCGGAGATCTCCCACGCCCCAGGTTCAGCTCTCAGTTATGATAACCTTCATTTGCCCTAATCCGCATCTGTACCTCTGTCCGCTGTATCAACTTCTCGACCATTTGCCTGTCTCACCCTAAGCTTCTACGTAATTTGTCAGTTAATTTGTGCAAGGTTCAGAAATCATTATGTATTTTATGCACAAACCCTCTCCGATAAAAAAAAAGACCATGAATTTGTATTTTAGATAGTAGTCAAAGAATGCTGGGCCTCAGTCAATTTTTTAAAAGTCCCAGGTTGAATGATGTGTTGACTTTTTTTTTCCTTTTTTCTGAAAGGAAGACTAGTGACAAAGCAAATGAGATAATTTCACCTGAGAGGATGTTATCTCTATCTAAGTTATTCAAATTGTACCTGTGTTTTAAATATTTCTAATATCCATAGTCTCCCTTAACTTTCTCAGTCTGTGTTGAGAAAGCCTCTAGACTAAGGTGAATCAGTTAAATCCTCTGCTCTAAAAAGTTGCAGTAAAAAACCCTTGTTGGCAACATTGTACATGTCAATTGTACAAGTATGTATTTCTTTTTTATTCAATTAATTTATACATAGTTCTTTTCATCTGAAGTATGTCCATGTAATGACGTTGAAAGCATTATCGATGATGGAATAGGAAAACAACTTGTGCGTTTGTGATGTTTCAGAATAATCAGTCATATTATATTTTTATCAGAGATTGAAAAAGGTTACTCTTTACAATTTCTCGTGTTCTTACTTATCAATCAGCCTCAAAGAAATTAAAAATTAGGTCTGTAGAAATCTACAGCACTTCAGGTGAAGGTGCAAATTTTTCTAGTTTTGCCTTTGGAATGGTTAAAAAAGAATTGCAGATTTGTCTCATATTTTAGTTTCTGAATGAGCATTTGAGGATTTTGAAGTAAACCCTTCCTTTTATTTGTAATTGGTGGTTATTTTTAACAGGACAGGTCACTCTTAATCAGTGATAATTTTCTTTCCTTATGTGTATTTGAGGAGGGCTCTTCAAAGTATGTGCACTACATTCTCAACTTTTCAATTATCAGATTTCCTACATAAGATAAGAGAGGAAAGCGTTTGAAAACTTACAATGAGTCTTGAAAAGCTAATGTTTCAGAATCTCAAGAGGCCTAATTTTGAATAATTCATAAAGATTTTTCAATACCGTTTTCCGCTCTGTAAGTCGGAAAGAGAGCTCCGTATACCCTCGAAAATCTCAGATTTTGAATGATTTTGTCATTGTAGACCAGGAAATTCTGCAAGGAGACTCTTCTGGAAGTGTTTTAAAGTCACCTTTTCTCCTTCTCCTTCTTACTCATCTTGATAGGTGGTTGCATTTGCTAACAGTGAATCAGTGCCAAGCAATTTTTCTAGCTAAAAATACATATTTGCATAATGCATAATTTTTCATAAACTGAGCTTCATTTTCAAGTTCTCTTTTTTCAATCAAGGTACAATGCAAGCATGAAACAAGGATCTCTTCGGCTATTTGAGACCAGACTATCTGCTGGTTATCAATCAAAATACTGATAACATACCCGCACAGGCCTGTAGATCTCTTTATGGCTGAAGTCAGCATAAATGATAGTTCTATACCGAAGTTTTCCTCAGATGCCTCTGTAAATCGCCCAATTTTTTGCGACTCCTTGTGTAAAATAAATTATAAAACTCCAAAATGATTAAAAATCTGAGCTGCCAAGACTTCTCATTTATGTCCAATAATATTTACAAGTTATCAATAAACTGTAAACCATTGTGTGCGTTTTTCCAGCTTTTCGAGGCTGAACGAATTCATTTGTTGTGAGGAGTCACAGCAGATTTGACAATGCGTAGCAGAGTTCTAATTTTTAGGATTTTTCAGTCTCTTATCAATGAACAGCAGATAGGCTGTTTTGACTGCAAATCAACTAATTTATTATTTTCATACGCTTCGTAATGCGTTCTGAGATAAATAGCACAACATCATTAGTACCCCCTCCCCCCCCTCATAAAACGTACAGTTGGTACTACTTTTGTATCCTTCTTGCACATTTTCTATGCCCATTTTTAGTCCATGCCAACCACCAGCCAATGTCCCTCCATTTTCTTCCGTTCAAAGATAAACTGTTTTTTTGCCAGTCTCTCTCTGTAGAATGTATGCGTGAATGTATGCTTTTTCTAATCCTACTATCCCCCTTTTACCTAAAAGATTAAGGATGTTTCCTCCCGCATTTACCGAACGCCAAATTCCTCCTTTTTTCCCCAATATCCTCGAATCGATGAGCCTGTGCAACGCTTTCATGCATTTTTTTCTTCAATTGTATCCGTACAATGGCCCCTGTATCTAGAAAATATTTACATTGAAATATTAATAAGTTTAGGGCCTCATTGGTATTGTCTCAATAACTAAAGAATAAGTGAGAAAAACAAACATGATGTCCCTTGAAGGAAAGTAATGTTTTTCACTGAAGATATTATCTTTTATCTTGTCTGATATCTTTAATCGTATGGCTATTATTTGTTGCTATTTTTCGACATCAGCTGTTAATGGTGAATCGACATACTCCATCCATGGATCATACATCTCTCGGATGTATATCTATTTGATCGTCGTGTAGAATCTTCTTATTGCCCTCCTATTTTTCGTGCAAGTAGCGGGAATACTGTTGAGTTGACTGAGCCTTTATCTGTCAGATTTTCAGACCTTCAATCTCCAGCAAGAAACTCATAAGTGCACTTTAGCTTGAGTGATAATATAACTTCTATCGCTCTGAAAAATAAATGCCATCAGAATCGAACATTCGATGACACATCCAGGAAATCTACTTGTTATCTTGCATAAAATGCTCCTAATTTTATGAAAGTTTCCCCCTCTATTTCTTCTCAAATTGGAACGTAGACGACTTTTGGAGTTTCTAATTTTTTTTTTCTTCAATGAAATTTCATCTAAATGGCCCATGAATTTTAATGAAATACTTCGGTTCGCAGGAGTCTTGAGTAAACAAATATATACATCCTCAGGGGCGATGACGAGTCTTTATACTAAGTGGACCTTGAAGCACAAAAATCTTTATCATCCTAATTTGCATTATGATATAATACTCGAATATAGACAAAACAACGGTTTTGCGTTTAACGTACTGAAATTTGGTATAATCCTGTGACATTCACCTATGTAAACCATGTCTCCAATTTTGTACCTGAAAAATTAACAATTAGACATTTTACATGCATGCACCACAAAATTGCTTCCTTGAGTCTTCGGTAAATCAATGATAATTTATTTATTTTTTTAATTTGAATTGCCTGTGTTTGTTTTAGTACATTTTTCAAAATTAAATTCATAGTAGTTTTGGTAAACGAACTTGACTGTGGAAAAATGTTAAGTGATATTGATGAATGTCAGTCAAAGTGAGCAAATTTAAGTGGGTTATGTGGGAAAAAACTGTTAAAAGAATGTTTTTTTAATGTTTGATCATTAATTAAGGGGCATTCATTGATTTTGTGTTGTCGTCACTTTCATTCTGCTGTATGAAAGGTTGCCTCTTTTATTAAAATAAAAAAAAAAATCATCCGATTTCTTGTGTAATCATTTCCTCTACCATTAAATCTTAAATTTTTACTTTTTCTGGACCAGAGAATTGAATAGAACTTTTTGGGAAAATGATCTCGATCTACTTGGTTTGAAGAGAATGCTGTATGGAGATTATTCCATTTTAAGTTCCTTTTTTAATTTGTTTTAATTTCATTGACTTTAATTACATGCATATCTACCTACATACTTGCGTCACTTAGGCTCAAACGTCCTCAGTTAAGTTACTTACAGTCAATTTATTTGAATTTCTCTCGTAAATTATGACATGTACTGCTCCAAGTAGACTGTCCATCATCACTCCTTAGGTATCAAGCATCGTATCTAATCAAACAAACTGGTGAGATATAAAGGAAAGTCTTCGCATGACAAATGTATATGTTGCTCTCTTAATTCTTTTTTCGTTATCTCCTTTTAATCTTGATGCATCAATGGTGAGCACAAATCATTTTGAAAATGGGACTGTTTAAAAAAAAAAAAAAGTAAAAAAGTTGTAGTGCACAACATTAATCTGATTCAATTCTAAGACATGTCAAGGCTATATTTTGTGCTGCTAATTGCTTGTTCGCTAACCTGATGAATCTTTTCCAACATTTCATTCATAACTGATTATCGCTGTATTATTTTTATGGTCTCGTTTTTATAATAAAAGTGAATTTTCTATTTGTTTCTATTCTGTTTTTCTCATTTGCGTTTCAAAGAAATTCTGTACTTTTCATCCAGAAAATAACTCTCTTATGTAAACAAATTCATTTTACTTTGTTTCATTGGACGGATAATATATGTAACAAGTCAGAGATAGACAAGCTTGATTGCACTGCGAAGTTTCACCTTGGAAATCCATTTTTTATTTATCAACAGGTGCATATTCATGTAGCAAATTTCAGGGAATTTCAGTGAGACTATTGAGAATATTCACAAAAAAAAAGTTTTTAACAAAATTTGCGACTGTTTTTGAGTAAATAAATTAATAGCCCCATGAAACTTTGCAAAGCTACAATTACGCCCCTTCGGCTACAATGGTCATCCAAAAAATAAGATCATACACTTTATACAGGAGCTAAAAATGATAAATCACAATTGTAAGAAGATCCTGACTTTATATTTGGAAATCTCCAGCCAGCCCAATTTGGATTCGGAGCAAAAAAATTGTGCAGAAAACTACTACCCAACACCAATATACATTTCACAGCTGCGTAATCATGGTCCTTGCTGTCTTTGTGTGAGGAATCAGTAATAAGGAAGGATTTTCCTGATTTTTTCAAAAGAAAAGAATTTAAACAAAAATCTAAAATGCTCGATCATGATTTACTGGTCAAAGTATCAGTGATAAGAGAGTCATCAAATACTGTTGCAGATTGTACATTTCACATTGTCATTTGTTTTTTGGCTGTGGAAAATGAAAATAGCGCAACACTTGTAATAATTTACTCCCAGTTTCAGTCCAGAGTCAGACGATATTTATTGAGAGACTTATGACACAAGGTTTGACTACCTGCGAATCGATAGTCTTACATGCACTGTCATGAAAAATTGTCGTCAGCCACATTGTAGTGTGTGCCATTACGTCGTAGAAAACCGTTGTCTGTGTCAGTGCAGATTTACGCAGTCAAAACTTGTGTCACAAGTTTGTCATTAAACATCATCTTGCTTTTGGACCGTGTTTGAATTTTTAAAAATGTATCAATGCATTAATCTCTGTGTGAGAGGATGTAAAAACATGCACAGGACGAATATTGGTTTGGGTCTCTTAATCATTCTAGAAGAGAAGATTAAACGGGAAATGCTATTTGATGATTATTTTAAGAAAACTGACAGTATGTAATTGACAAGATGCATGAACTTTTGCCATGAAATCTAAAATTTGACAATCAAACGCTTCATAAATTTTGAAATAAGTGCTCACAATCAGTTTCAAGAGAGAGTGTCTGCAATAGGGTTACTCGTTTGGTAGACAGAGCTTGGGGGGGAGGGGAGGTTCCTGCCTAAAAAAACAGAGTTTCTTGATAACTACTGGTCCAAATTTAAGAAACTTGGCTCTTAGAAAAGCTCTATACATAAAAAATCAGGATCTTGTAACATATTGGATTTATCCTTTTAAGTTTCTGAGATGTAAACGACAAAACTTACTTTTAGGATGACTCTCAGTTAAAAGAGGAAAACTGATGGGAAAAAGAAGATAACTTTCACTGGGAATGTATATAATTGCAACTTCCTTCAAAAAAAAGGAGAGAATTGAGATTCTTCTTAGCACAAACTATGGACTAGCTACAACAAAAACAAATACTTGTCATATTTTGAGACACCGAAAGCACGCTTTGTTAAAAATGAGCCGCTGGCTGGTTGAACCAAAGACTCATCCAGAACATACTAAGACTTAAGCTACACTTGGAAGTTAAAAAATATTTCAGACTAACAGTTGTAACTTAACGATAAAGTAACTTAAGTAAAATAAATTATTAGACTGTGAGCGACAGAGTAAAACTAGACAATACAGTTGCTTTGTAGACGGTTGAGAGCTTGTTCATCCAGATTTTGTTGCGGTCTGAGACTGTTGGATTCAATGTCCGAGTCGGAACTTATACCATTTGCAGTTCTCTGGAAATAATAAAACGAAAAAATAAATTGAAATTGAACTGGAGATTAAGAAACTCTAATTACGATAGTTCATGTGAGAGACCTTTAAATGGATGCGAGTTGTTTAAGGGAACGAATAAGGACCTTTATTTCACACTCCTTAAAGAAACAACATATTTGCCATAGGGTTTCTTATGCAGGTGGGTGCTCTTGTATCTGAGTCAAAGATAGTAGTTTCTTATTGTAAAATGCAGTTCTGTCCATTTTTGGGCTATAATAGGGCTCAGAGGCCCATTTTAATTCCGCAATAGTGAACCTTTCCAGCATCTTGAGGTTTAGAATACCTTTCGCTTGAAACTACATTTTTGAAACAGCAAACCTCAAACATTATAACTGCAAGTTGCTTCCAGATTTCAAAGTGCTAAAATGTTGATAAAGTACTCCTCCGAATAGAGTAGGTATTAATGCCTCAACTCTAAACTTCCCTGCACTAAAATCTCTTTTCCTTGAGACAGACATAGTTTGATATAATAAAAATGGAACTCAACACAGTTTTTCTGGGGATCTAATGGGGCTGCAACAATTTTTAATAGAAAAAAAGAACAGTTAGCCCTTGATTAAGATTGCTCAAAAACAGGATGAATAAGAAGAGTTGTCTTGAGTTTACACGTATCCTCACAATTTAGAGAGTACATTTATCCATTTTTGAGCTTTGAAATGAATTTAGTACAGGTAAGGAGCAAACCAGAGGGATACTATTTTTAAAAAATAAAACTCAATGAATGAATGAATGAATGAATGGAGGTTGGATTAATGATGGCCTGGGACTCAAAATGGGTGCCATCATATGAAACCTTTCTCCCAATAAAAATGAACAACTGAGAAACTTTCCCTTTTTTAATGCAATTTAAAAAGGAGAAAAGCAGACGGATAAGATCCTTATCTGCAAAGAAAAAAAAGATGCAAAACGAAAAGGGAAGGAATTGAGGAATACCTTTTGAGGTTGTGAGTCAGAAGAGATTGACATTTTATCGGCATTTTCATCATCTATTGCACAGCGAGTGATTGAAGAGAAGGAAGACCTATGATGCCGCCTGATTCTGGAACCGGGTCCTATGGGTCTTCGTCCTGAGCTGTAAAATAACACATTAAAAATTATAAATTAAGCATTAAACCAAATAGATGTCAATCAACCAGTGGGATTGACCGTCAATCACCAAGTGAAAATTTATGTCAACCGACCATTCCAATTATCTCTGGATTAACCATTCCATTGTCTCAAATCACCTGCTATGCGACCAGTTGATCAACAACTGTTTTGACTGGTTAATCAGCCAAGGATTGGACTGACCTATCCATAGCTCTTTTACTAATCAATCGACAAGAAATTCCACCGGTCGATTGACGATTCGAATCATGTGTCCCTCAACCAGTAAACTCATCTGTCGATGGACGGGAGGCATTAACTATGGATTGACCAAATACATCATATGTTTGCGACCACAATTGAAGGGGGATTTTTCATGCAGTCAGATCGCAAAGGGAGTCATTGACGTGCTGCAACAATAGAAATTAGCGCTGAATGCTGAGACGTTTTTATGTATGCATTGATATTTACTCATTTTCGTGTATTTTCATATTAGTAGGGGCTTGGGGGGGAGAGGCCCCCTCAAAAACTGACGCGGAGCGAAGCGGAGCGCCGGTTTTTAATATCGGGTTGTCACATGGATGACTTCAAATTTCAATCAATTGTAACAAGTGAGTAGAATTATTGCTGCACAAATTAAAAGACTCGCTTTTGATTAGAGCAGTCTAAAGTAGTACCAGATTGCAAGGCATAAGTTTTTCATTTTATGCAACATCAGTTTCAAAAGTTTCATTATTTATACAACTCCATCCATCGATATTGATTAACTGTGGTTTCACAGTGACTTTCAAAGTTGAGAGTTCAAATTGAAAAAAACTTTAATACCTTTTTCGCCTGAGAATATAAACTAGATGATTTGAGTTTGAGTCATCCTCGTCTCGCCCAGAGCTGTCTTCCGGGTGGTGGGATGAGTTAACGTTTAAAATTTCAGTCACTTTCCGCCCAAGGCTTTCTAGATGATCATCATCATCGTCACTCGGCCTGTCAGCCCACTTTCGTCCCGTCACCTGGCAAGCAAAATAAACATATTTTGATTATCAAAACACAATATATTTCAGACACACTGAGTCAATTATAGAATATGACCGCCTGAAAAATTGGGAGGAAATAGTCATACGAGTAGATTACTTTTCACAGTCACAATTTGCTTTTCATGAGAAGACTGATCTAGCTGAGGTAAAAGTTTTCACACCACAATTTTAAGGAAAGTGACCATACACAGGAAAAGGGACACATCCCAAGTGAACATCCAACTACTTCAAATTTTTAAATTGTTGTGGAGAAAAATACAGTCTTGTAACTCAAGGTTGTTTGGTTCAATTTAGAGTTGATAAAGATCATAAAGTTGCATATTAACATGACAATTTAGAGCATGATGAAACATACCAGTCTGAATTTTTATGACTTTTTCGCAAAATTAGTTGTTTTGGACTGCTACCTTCTGACAGTGCTAGTTCTGGTTTGGTTGGACTTTTCTTCTACCGTGATCTGGGCATTAAATTAGACAGAGTAAAAAAAGGGGGCATTCTTTTGTGGACAGAGAATTGCAACATCTGATTCTAGCGAAGGGTTGAAATGTAAAAACCCTCACAGCACCTCATTTTCAATTCAATCAAATCATTCACCGTTTATTGGTCTTTAAAAAAACAGGCGGAGCGTTACCTGATTCATAAAAATAGTGTTTCCATTGAGACTGTCAGTTGGACTCCCCATGTGAATAGGCGACGGAGATGTTGTCCGGCTTACGCCCCTTGCGATCGGAATCTGACAAAGATCCAGCGATTCTGTTTGAGTCTCTGTGCTTACCCTAGTATTATTGCAGATCCAGTTATCAACCTGTCAAAAATGGCCACACTTTAAACAAGATGATACTCAATAAGTTCTTACTATTTTTACATTTTTGGCAGAAAATTCACATTTATCCCAACTATCCAACCAGTTTTGGTCAGCCAATTTCCACACTCTTGCTAATAATTACGAACTAACTGAACTACATTGGTTAGAAAAAAGGCAAATTGTTGAAGAGACAGAAGGTCTGTGAGGTAGTTAGTGGTGAGCATTATTTTGAATAATGAATTCTTTCGATGAATTTTGCCTACCACTGATGAACAAGCAGAACGCTGATTCAAAAAAAAGAATGTATTCTTTTCTGCTTAGTGATTTTTCTTACCTCAGTTTCTGGACAAAGCGTTAGGAACATATATTTGGAAGGGTTGGTTGCTCGTGTCTTAGATTTACTTCTACGAGGCTGAGTTGGAGAGGTTCCAACAACAGACTCAGGTTTTGAGATTCGATTCAACTGAGTATATAACGGCACTTTCACAGGTGACAGCATTTTGTCATTCAGCTTCATCTGCAATCAAGATTGCAGGTTACTGACGGGAAAGCCATGCATAGATTTTGTGCTTGTGTCAAAAGTCAAATTCAACATGAACTGTTCAAAAACTTTTAGGAAAGGAAAAAAGATAATTTTTTTAAAAACGCTGCATCTTGGAAACTAAAGAGGAATGCCCCGTAGTGATAATTGATTGGATCTACTGTTCAGGGCATTCAAAATTTTAAAATGAAATTCAGGGAGCAAACAGATATCTTTCTCTCAGTTTTTAAACAGCAACTTTCTATTATAGGATTGGAATTTTTTTTGAGACAGAACAAAAAAAAAGACCTTTCTCAGCATAAACTTAAAATCTTTCAAAACTTTAATTCCTAAACTTTTGGCAGTTAACACTCGAAATGGATATGTTTCCGAAAATATCTATTGTGAAATACTTCAATGATGAAAGCTCATAATGAATGCAACTATAAAAGTTTATGAGTTCAATTTGACAATCCTCATGGAGGTATTAAAGGCGGTTTCATAAATCTGGTTTGTAAATATATTACAGAAAATATTACAGGTCTTGAAACTTTTCATAGAGGCTGAGCACTTAAAAACTCAACGTTTTAAAATTTATTAGTTGGCATAAAATATTTTTCATGTGGTAAAATCTGTTCCTGCAGAGCAAGATGAAGGTCTCAAGAAGCTTGGGAACTAAATGAATGGTAAGGTACACCACCAGGTAACCAAGCTATTCAAAATAAATGCATATCATTCACCAAGGGTATCGGAATATTTCCCATTTCATACTTCTCACCATGCCTGCCTGTTTTTTATATGAAAAATGGCTGGCACTTCTGCATTCAACATGGGATGAACAATTGAAAAATTTAATTATTCTTGGGATATTTGCTAAATAGAAGTTAGAAGTTTTATAAGTTAAGACTTGGTAGAATGCTTAGATTAGCATAAAATAATTTGGCATTGAAAACAATTGGCAAAAAAATAAAAATAGAAAATTACCTGACTTGTGTAATTTGTATTGAAATGAGGGTAGTCTGGAGAAGATGGCGTAGAAGATTCAGACTTTCGGTGCTTAGGATACCTATCGCTATGCCTTGACACCGGTTTGAAACAACGTTTCTTATTCATTTTAGCTAGCTGCTTTTCACGTCTATAACAATAAAAGAATCTTGCTCAGAACAGAATTACAATGATTACAGATGGAATACAGAGAATTTTACGGTTAAAACTTTTCATTTTCTATAATGCTGTATACACGTCATAACCTGTTAATACTTTTTCCTGGTTTAGAGAAAACTGGGAATCAAGGAGGGTGATTGATTTATTTAAATGTGATGAGAGTGTGAAATGGCCATCATAAATATTGGGCAATTTGGGACTTCATTACTACACAGCAGACTGATGGAGCCATCTAAAATGTAAATCAAAGAAAATTCGATTGATCACACAAGTTATCACTCCTCATATATGAGGACACAACTTGATTTCTGCCAGGGCCTTAGAAATCATAGAGCTATATGGAAAACAAGGCTTACATGGAAATTGAGATACACCCTTAAGTCACAGGAGTGACGAAGTAAGCTAGCTTACATCTCTTTGAATTGGATAATGACTCTCCAAATCATGCTTAAAATATCTGGTCTGTTTCACCTGCGGGCTGATCATTGAAATTGATGGACAAAACTATAGACAAAGATAAAGAGAAAATAAAGCAATCCTTTTGATGGAAGCCGGTGGTTGCGATGGAAAAAGAAGGTAAGTGATGGCTTAACTTACAGCAACTTACGACAGACCCTACAGTTAGTCCATCATTTTCCTCCTTGGTCGATAATAACCACCCTTCTCAAAAAATAGGATCGTTTTATTTTCCCTTTGTTTTCTTTATTCATCGCTTTGTCTATCAATTCCAATAATCAGCCTGAAGAAAAACCTTTCATCATTTCCCTAGGATTAGGGTTTTTGGCTTCCTATTATTTCAAAAATACCATTCAATACACTATGGTGATGATCTCAATTCTGGTTGGGCTTAGAAAGAGATAGAATTCAAGAAATCAAAGTTGGATCTTAATTTGAACTATAACTAGGCATTAACTAGGTAGGTGGTTAAGCTAAAAACCACAATTCTTTTGAGAGACTTTCTCTCTTGCTGTGCTGCTTCAACAAGAGGAGAAAGAGAGGAGGAAGAAGATTTTATACAGATTTCTTACTTGGCTACTTCTTTCTCCCGTTGCTCAATTTGGAACTTAGCCGCACGAACTTCCAGGTAGAGATCATGAACTTTTTCCAGCTTGTGCTCATAAAGTTCTCTAATGTCTTGAGTATGTTTCAGTTCGTCATTGATTTTCTTGGCATTTGCTTCCTCAAATTTTGGAACGCTGCTGCCGTTGGTTTGCATTTGCTGCATATGAGATTGCACTTCCTCCTTCCATTTGACCTGTTGACAAACGTCACTTAGTAGAATGGAGCTCAATTTTATTTTAAGTAAATTTATACAATTAAATATGATTTGTTTTTAAGACCAGCTGTCCACGATTGCTGCACCAGCTGCTCCGCCAAGGATCAAACCTGTGACCTCCTGATTATGGAGTGCTACAACCACTACACCACAGGAGGCCAACTGTAATACTTATACATTGTAACTGAAAAAATTGTGAAATGATGCTTGATGGTTAAAGACGTCCAAAAGGATGATCCCAACAGATGAAAATTCCTAACTTCCCTGACCAAGATTTGTTGATATTGATACTAGGAGCGGTAGCGACCCCGTTGATATAACAGATGGCTGCTCAATAGATTCTAAATCATCTGCAGCAAAACATGGCGGATGACTTCATCCATCACAGTGGTGCACACTATGGTTTCTTCCACCTTGGTATTATCCGTGTTTTAAATGCAGCAACCAGTGCAAATGTGTGTATCACTTATTGAGGAATCCAAGGTGGGTGAGAAAAGGCATTTGGATACTTAATAATGATTATTTATTACTGATCTTTGATCACAGAGTCAACATGTTAATAAAATATACCTGAGCTTTAAAATACTTTTCTGGCGACGTTTGAAGAACCTCTGCTCCTGCAATATTGAGATGCAGGAGGATGTGTTTGAAGGAGGGTCGGTTCCGTGGCTTGGCACTCCAGCACTGTTTGACAAGGAGCCGGAAGCCCTCAGGACAGGACGACGGTATCGGAAGGTGTAAAGAGCTGCTACCAACACCCCAGATTATTGCCGATGAGTCAACATCTTTGTATGGCTTCTCACAGAGCAACATTTCCCAAAGAACAACACCATACGACCTGAAAACCAAAGTAGAGTTAGGGAGTCAGTCTCAATTGCCCATAATTTACTATTTTCTTTTGTGGGAAATTTTGCTTTGGCAAAATGGACCAATTACCCTGGTGAATAGAGTGAGTGCAGGGCAAAACATTTGCCGAGTACCATGGAGAAAAGGAGGGTAAAATAAAATTTTCAAGATTTTGAGAAAAAGTTGTTTTGAAAAAAATTCTGTCCCATGGTATTTATGCACACCAAACTAATACCAAGAAAAATAAAACACTCCAACAACACAGACTAACATCAAATATTGGAGAAAGACTCCATCTGTCCGTCTTCAGTGACCTACTTGATGAAATAGATGAGTTCCTGTAAAAGTTTGTGGTGGTAAAAATAGTTGGATACAATCCAATTCTCTAATAATTTCACACAATTCTCAGTCTAGGTTTAGAAAGACAAATAACTTACCAGATATCAACTTTTTCAGAACATGGTTCGTTGCGAATAATTTCTGGAGCCATCCATGCAACAGTGCCGGTAAATGTCATTTTTGTACTGATGTCATTCCACTCGCGGCTGGTGCCAAAATCACTAATCTTCACAACTTCTCCCTGACCAATGAGAACACTATAAACAAAAATAAAAGATTCATAATACCTACTCGGAAAATTCCAAACTCATCAATGTTAAAAAACCAAAAGCATGCAGAAGCAGATTAAAGTACTGCTTGGAGAGGAATAAAATCAGATGATATTAGGCGATGAAAATTAATAATATAATTAATGTAAAGAAACAAACAAAAGAGAAACCAGAAAATTTGCGCATGGGAAAAAGGGGGGCAGATAAATTGTATACAAGATAAATCGTATACTCCCGTCGAAATCAGATAAATCATATACAGATGGATGGTGAGAGGATAATTCATATAATTTGCCTTGCCAGTTTGTCAAACTGTTGGGCGATCGCGAAATTCACTCTACGATTTCTGATCATTCATAATTTCATAGCCCTTCTTTCTCACAAATAATGTAAGGAATTTTTTTTACCCAATACCACCAATAATTCTCATTTGGATTATTAATTATTTCTGCACTAATATTTCCAAAGACATATATTTCACATCTAGATAAGGTGGATTGCCAATTATCGATACTATCCACAGACTGTCCAGCTTTTTGGGGTAACGTAACCAGTCTGTTGGCTTAAATTTTAAGCGTCTTTGAGAAGAACTTAGTTCATTCTGACATTGTTGAGTCCATATAAAATTTAAAAAATTCTAGTGAAGAACTGTGTGCAGCCCGTTTAGGAGTCCCCAATATTTTGTGTCAATCTGTGTGGCAGTGACTGTTCGTCTGTCCTGATTAGGACGGAGGCCAATTTTTAATAATTTTAAATAAGTTAAAGATACAGTCCTACAATTTCAGTAGTGTCTTGCCAGTGGGTCAGCTCTTTTAGTATTTGTGTCTCCAGATATCCATCGAAGTTCATCCATGTGGAGCTCCTGTACCGAAGTGTCTTGCGTCCCCGTCCTTGACTTCATTCGTATCTGTTTTTTCCGAGTCACTTGAACAGCTTACTCTTATTTTCATTTAAAATCTTCCAAAAGGTCTGATGTTTGAAGTTTACTTATCATAATTTAGTCAGGCCAATTTGTTCATCCTGCATGAATCATCTTGTTACGTCTCATTCCTCTCAATACGTGTGAGGACCCCACTAACTCCAGTTGAGAAATCAAGAGATAACGGGAGTATAAGGAGTCTCCGACAAGGAAGCTTAGCCACTGAAAGTTTCTTGATAACCCAGCATTTGGATAAATGATAACAGCAAGTCAAACCGCAGGTTTGCTTGGTTTCAAGAAACCTTATTGGCAGCCTCTAAAACAAGCCACTAATTAGTGGCAATGGCTCCAAATCCTTGGTAACTAACATCATCACTCTGTCTTTGAGCAGAGGTAAGTGAAATTATCGTAACATCTTATGTCGTTAATGACTCTTGTAACTTATGTGGCAGCTGACAATGGAAGTAGAGAAAAATAGTCTCATATTTGAGGTTTTACATTTTCTGCTATCGCTGTCCAAATTACCAGAGACCTGAGTTGTTGGTGAGACCCACAGCTCAGCAAAACTTCGGCCTCTGCCTCCTAAAATTTTTCCTTTTCTTCATTGGGCCTTATTTGTACACTTCAGTACCTACCCTGAAAAGCCGCTTTCTGCTGACTTCAACTGGTCAAGGGCATGGAGAAAGGCAACAAAATACGTGATAGAAAGATAACTTCAGCGGCCTCGTCATATCGTTGGGTTTGTTCTACTTATCTTTTGTGAACATTAAAAAAAGTCGCTTGGTACCAAACGTCAAAATAATCAACGACTCTCGGGCCATCCTAGTCACCTTACAGGCTACTAATCCCTAATTTATGATCACCATCTCTTCTTCCTTGAGGGTCCGAGGGTGAGATGTGTTTCAGATATTCTCAAGAATATCGACATTTCAAATAATAAATGTCAAATTCTGCTATCTATATTGCCCTTTTGCCTTTTCCGAAATGAGGTTAGTTTATAGTTTAAATTGTTGGTAGATTGCTAACAAATCATAACAAGAGTACAGTTTGATGTTCGGTACCCACCAACCAACAATTTGATGCTAGTATGCAATTTACCCATCGGACACCCAGTATATGAATTACCGTGTATGCGATTTATACTAACTCGGGAAAAAGACATGGAAATGTTCATTCAAAACCTTTGCAAAAACTTGATCAAAAAGTTGAGAATTGTTTCTTAATTTACAGTCTATTTATTCTTCTCAGCAGTTGTCTCTAAATAACATGATGCCCTTTCAAACAAGAGGGAATCATTGAAACACTCTGTATCTACCTTAAAACATGACTTCTGAGCGATGTCAACTTGTGTGAAACAGCTTAACAGACCCCGTGTTCAAGATGGAGTGCAAAATTGGTTAACATACTTACTGCGGTGATTAGAGAAAAAGAATAATAGATCCTTACTTGGGACTTTTCAGGTCCCGATGTATGATTTTGTTTGAGTGCAGGTAGTGCATGCCACTAGCGATCTGCTTCGCCCATGAGACCAGCCGCCGAGGTGGTACTTCTTCCCCATTCCTCAAAAGACTGTGAAGTGGACCAAATGGACAGAACTCCATGATAATACAATAGCACGGAGCTTGTGTACAAACACCTCTGAAAATAAAAAAAAAATACAACACTGAATTGCCTATCAAGGGAACTAACTTGGATTCTTCCATTTTCAAAATAACTTGTTGGAGGTTTCATAATTACGGAGATTTCAGTTGACAGAAACAGCTTGCTCAGTATTTGTAATGGCCTGTTGTAAACTTCAGCCAGAGCAAAAAGAATAGTTAATTCTTATGGAAAATGACTAAAAAATCATGATGAGGAGATCAGGAAAGCCTGAAAGACACTCCAAACTGCACAATCTGCGTAAGTAATAGCACTATTTTTTAAAAAAATAGGTCCTGCTTTCTAATATTCGGTAACGTTTAAACATAATAGGAATGGTATACTGTCGCACATTGTTACTGATTGTTAAAATACATCTGAAAACATTCCATTTTGGCTACCAGCACTCACTGGCTCTCTCTCTTTTCCAGCATCACTGAACCAATGGAGCCTGACAAGTGTCCTATTAAGAATTTTTTTAAAATAGATACACGACCTATTGCTTCAAGAGTGAAAATGCGTACGGCTTTCAACACAAAAATTTTACATTGACCTTAAAAACAGGGTAAAATAATCCTGGAGCAAGTTCATTGTTTGGCAGGTGTTGCAAGCAATTACTTAGTAAATATTGAAAACAACTCAGCGGATACTTGCATATTAAAGCTGTGAAAGCAGTACTTACTTAAACTTAATTATATTTTGATGATTCAGCTTCTTCAAATGCCTAATGTCAGTTTCTTTTTGTTCTTTAACTTTTTTAACAGCTACAATTTCATTTTTCAGTTTCCCACTGAAAACAGCACCTTGTGCCCCAGATCCAAGCCATTGCAGATCACTGATGGTTTCGAAAGCAATCTCCCAATCATCTGAAACAAAATCAGTTTAACTGATGGTTCATACTCTCTCAGTCGGTGATCTCGAGAATACAAGTGATCCTTTCCTACAGGTTTGTGTAACATTCCGCAGCACTTCCTCTTAAATTCAATATAATAGGAAGAAAAAGGTTTTAGAAAAATTTAGTAAAACTTCTTCTTGTTTAAAGACATTCAGAGGGATGGTTACAAATTTAATGACAATTAAAAGGAAAAGAAAAGAAGCAAATGCACAAAAACTTGATACTATTACAAAGTTAATCATTGTATTATCTGAAATTACCCTGTAAATTTATTGCAATTCGTTTAGTTTTAAATCATGTAGGTGGATACAAGGAAATACTTGTAGTAGTTACAATACATTTAAATAAAAAAAAAAAAAAAAACCAAGTTAAGAAAACAGGCAAACCCCCAAGAAGCAAGAATCTAGCCAGCTAGATAGCTGCACCGTCGATTTTTCCTGCCATTCGTTTGAAAATGACGATAAATTTGCATTTCCCAGGGAAAAAATTAAATTTCGCTCCTCACTGAAATATTAGAAATCAGGCCTTCATATCAAAAAAAAGCTGGATCCCAAGTTTTCATAATTCAGACAAAAACTATTTGAGCGGTATTGCCTAAAGTTCAATACTCACAAGTCTCTTTCTGTTACTCGAGAAACAATGGTGCAAAGTCTCTCTTCGCCCCCTTCTTTTTCACAGTTTTGACATGAATAAACGATGTCAAGGCCACAAACATTGCAAAGAAACAATTGTATATTCATGATAATTCTTAAAAAGACTATACACAGGATATCAAATGGTAAAATGTAAGTGATACTCGTCTTGCACCAGTCCTATCCATAGTAAAAGATGTAATACTGTACCCTGGAGTGTTGCTTTCATTTCATTGGTCGTCACTTTGCCAATGATGGTCCACACAGGACGCAAACAACCCAGTAGACCATCAATCCAACCCATTTCATTGGTCACAGTGTTTCTAGGATCATGTTCTACTTGAAGAATCGGGCCTACTGGCAGCTCCTCATCCACAGAGGAGTCCGTCGAGTCCAGCGGTGGTTTTGATATTGAATCAAGACTCATTTTCTCGACATCATCTTCAAGACATAGCACTCTGAAATGTCATCGGATTTTAATTTAAGTCACATATTTCAACACAAAATGTTTGTCTATTTATAATTTTCAGGAAATGGGTTTTGCGTGCAAAAAACCTTGTAAGTCTATCATTAATATCCTTGTCAAGAGGAGTGTTTTATGTTTTCTTGGGCACAGATTATTTCTCGGAATAGACTAATTCAGTGCCTACACCATTCTTACAATATTTGACACCGTTGATTTGTGTTGGTTTGAACCAAAACACATAACATCACATAAAACACAGCCTCATGTCAAAACTTCAAGGCGAGTTGCTTATGTTAATTCATAAGTATTTTATCATCAGTAAGTCAAAAATCAATTAAATCTCAAAGGCATGAATTGATTTATGATTTACTTAGAGGGACACAAATCTTTGCTGTACCTTTCATATGGACATTCAGTTTCATTGTCATCTTTCAAAATTTAAAAATTTTAGTATTAGTGCAACATCATGCCGCAAAGGAATGATTCTCTTTTAAAGAAACCCCAAAAATATGCAGAAACATAATCGTTACACCATCCTATGGAGGATTACAGACTCACTAAAGAAGCACGAGAAATTTCAATTGCAGGAAGCACCTGCACGTATGTTACCACTATGAATACAACAAGAATACATTAGGGACACTTTGGAAAATATTCTAGGTATTGTTATTTTATAAAGCCTAGGTGTCTTACCGATTGGGAATTGCATCTGGCATTTGAGCCAAGTCAACGCTTTCCAATGAGACTTTCGGGTCAACAACTGCTGGATGCATTTTAGGATTCTATGAGTTTTCTGGGTCCATTCGGCAAATCATCAACCTTCCTGAGGGCATCTGATGAAATAACAATGGTTAGGCAATATTTAGCTTGACCATCTTAAAATTCTGAAATCATTGACTAATTGGATAAATGTTTTGTTCTGGTGACAGGTGAGGTATTCAATGATTTACAATGGCAAAAAGTACTATTTCGGCTTTGGTCCATGAAATTTCATGATTGTAAAGGGAACAGCCGGACTGTGCTGTTTCAATTTCGATTACTAGACATTAAGACTGGATAGCGACAACGCCAAAATAAAATTACGCACTTGAAGACTGCGACAAAGGCTTTGTCATCTTGATTTTTGCATTTACTTTCAGTGCAAGTCAGACATTAGAGCATCTTCTGTCATAGTTCAAAAGTGCATAAACTTATTTGACGTAGACTCTGACAGTTGTGCGATGACAAGATGATATATCTAGGAAACAGCTCTCAGTCCCCTACAAATCTTAGATTCTGCATGACATTAGACGATGAAAACCCACTTCCAGGAGGGGGGGGGGGCGGAATACTGGTAATCCAACAAGAAAACTTCTTGTGTGACGCGGTAAACAACAGGATGACCTTGGAGTGGCAGAAAGATAATGACATGTGTTGATACCTAACTCTAGCTAAAGGCCGAGAGTATAACATAAGTTTTTAATGCACTAGAGAGGTAGACCTGCCATCGGGAAGGTAGTTTCCTGCAATGGTTGTTTGGATTATTTCATTAAATTAAACAGAATGCTCAAAAAAATAAAATTGAGGTTAGGTTATGTTTGATGCATTGAGACTTGAGCGTTGGAGAAGGGTGGCTTATTGAATGAAAACCCAAAGAGACTAGAAAACGCTTACACAATATGAAGGATTGAACCCCAAATTGATGAGATGAATGAGAGAGTGAGCGTGTCACTAGCAAAATCACAATCGGTCTATCATTACTAACGGTAGCGGGCTGAGGACGTCAAACACAGAAGATACATATCTTCATAGAACACTTTTGTCTCTAACACAGTGACTGGATGACATTTACAACTTTAGAGAACACCAACAACTCCACGAGACTCACGAGACCAGAGAGCACAAATCAAATTTAAATGAAATCAGACGCGAAAACAAGCAATGACGCCACAAGCCAAGACGAAAGCACAACAAGAAAGAAGCCAATAAAATCCATACGGAGAACCCACACAGCTCGCTGTGCGCCAAGAAAAAGCTCTGCAGCCTTTATGCGCCGAATGACGTCATGAAAGTTCGCTGCGATGACGTAATTATTACTTTGTTTACTTTTTATCCCGCGCCGCGCCATGCCGCGCCATGCCGCGCACATAGAGTACAATAGAGTCGCAAAGTACTGGAGCGCCGATGAAGCCAATCCATGAACAGGCGTTTCCGAGCCGCGTGTGCTCCGAAAAGTGTGAACCATTTGTGAACCCAACGGCATTTTGTAACACGGCGGCTTATGGAGAAATCAAGAACTGCTTGTGTTTTTTAGGTATTTTATAATTCAATCAGCATTAATTTTTGCAAATTTTGCTATTTAAAGGTAGTCAAAGCCATAATGAATCCATTGATGTATATTACTCCTGGATAATATTCATATTGGGATTTAATTTCTGACTTATACCAAGTGTGAACCAACCGGCATTTCTTATCACGGCGGCTAACGGGAAAAGCAACGACTGCTTGTGTTTTTTCGACATTTTTTAATTCAATCGATATTAATTTGTGCAAATTTTGCCATAATTAGATAGTCAAAGCCATAATGAATCCATTGATGTATGTTACTCCGGGATAATATTCATATAGGAATTTAATTTCTGACTTATACAAAGTGTGAACCAACCGGCGTTTTTTAACACGGTGGCTTATGGAGAAATTAGGGAGAAATCAACGACTGCTTGTGTTTTTTCGACTTTTTTTAATTCCATCGATATTAATTTGTGCAAATTTTGCTTCAAAATAGATATTCTAAGCCATAATGAATCCATTAATGTATGTTACTCCTAGATAATATTCATATATGGGCTCAATTTCAGATTTATTACCGGCCTACTTAGCTGATTCAATGTGTGTGGATCTAGCCGACGAACGGAGCCGAGTCGGGAGTGGGGAGCGCCGAGCGCGAGTCTCTGCGTATGCGTCGTCGCTAGTCGCCGCACACTAGTCTCCGAAGAACTGGACAAAACAGCCTCCAAAAGTGACTTCATCGACGATCCAGTACTTTGCGACTCTATTGTACTCTATGGCCGCGCACCGCTGAAATTCTACAGGTTATGAACTTGTTTACTTTCCTTATCTCCAAAAGATTGCATTTTTCACTTTTCTTTTATTGAGAACAAGAAGGACAGTGATCCTCATGGTGCACCTTTTTCATACAGACTCGTATTAATTTGTGTAAATTTTGAGTGTGTTTCATTTCAATGTTCAATCATGCTCATTTCTTGTACTATCTGCAGTGACTTGTTCACAGGGAATGACTCCGAGTCAATATGCTGCACTCCGTGTGGTCATATGTTCCATTACATTTGTCTCATGAATTGGTTTGAAAGGTAAACTAATATTTTAATAATTAACTTCCTTTTTAATGGGAATTTCTACCTGAAACTGAACCTATCTGCCCGAAGATGTCAGAAAAATCTGCCTTAAGATTTTCATTCTCGAGGTCCGTGATAACTCTTGTCGTATGGTGTAAGCTCATTTTATCCACTTAGGGCATGCAAGCCAGCAGGCCGATTATTGAAAGCTTAAAGCAGCCTGATAAGACATGGGATAGCGTTTATATTGCATGGTTAAGATAAGGCTATGTCTTGTCGAATCGTATCGACATAGTTTTAGTAATCAGGCCGCAGCTCGGATCCACTGACTTGTGACTGAGTGTCTCATACATCTCTGGTTACTCTCTTCAAAGTAGGTGATGTAGATACAGATGTCTTTTGCAAATCCTCATCACCACACTGTACTTTGGCACTCAAAGAGCTCGCTCTATATGATCAGACAGAAATTAAGTTTTATGTACGCAGTGGTTCCAACTGAACGAATATGTTGATTTGTTAGGAAATTAAAAGTAAAGCAATTTATAATTGGAAAAATAATAGTTTAGAGCTATCCTATTCTTATCCTCCTTTAGAATTTCAAAGGCTGATTTCTCTGCAAATCAAAATTGTTGAAGGCAACCTAAAAAAAAAGAGGAAGAAAAACTGTTTCATTTTTGTGATTTTTTCATTGCTACACTCAATTTTTTTCCTTGACTAATGTTACACTTTCATTGATTGAAGTAACCATCATGATATCTCTGGTGTCATCAAAAAAATAGTGTAACAAAGGAACAACATGCTAATCAAGGAGACAATTTTTAGCCAGTTTCTAAGTCCACTGAATCCACAATAAGGGTAATGCAGCTCCCTAAATTTTTTCTTCTATCATCAAAGAGAGCGCAGAAACCTTGTCTTGAACGGGTAAGCAATCTCAGTGACAAACAAACTTGTACGTCATCTGGTAGAACTGGGGAAAGAAAAGAAGAGACAAAAATCACATCAGTCTGGATGCATCAATCATCACTTGGCCCATTGGGTAGCATGTAAATATCTGTTGAATGGTGCAATTTTTGGATGTGACATTTGTCTCTTCTTTTCTTTCCTCAGTTCTAGGTAAATAAAATATCTCAAGGCGCTAATCAAGCTCATTCTATGAAAACTTTCCGATTCATACTGACTCTAATCCTCGAAAACAAAATACATTATTTCTCTGTCTCAATTTTGAATGAAAGATATATTCTTGTAGAAATCAATAATTAATTTTTCCTTAAAATATCTTTGTTGTTTCTTAGGGTGAAAAGTTGTCCGCAATGTCGACAAAGAGCCTCTGAAAACAACATTGTTCGCATGTTCCTCAGCCTTGGGACGAGTGGTGGAGATGATGAAGAGGCACCAGAAAAACTGAAAAATAGATTGGATAACCTCACATACCAAATTAGACTGAAGGATTTGGATATTAAAAACTTGAAGGAAGAAAATGAAAAATTTAAGTCTCAGAACAAAAATCTGCTGTAAGTGCCCCTTCCTCCTGGTTTTTTACTTGACTGAACTAAAATATGTCAGTTTACAAGTTTTTAAAAAGACTCCAGCAGAGATGAGACATCATCTCTGATGATGATGATCAGATCTCTGATCAGATGATCTGATGATCTCTGATCTCATGATCTGATCTCTAATCAGAGGATGTCTCATCTCTGCTGAACTGGATCCCTTCTTTAATAAACTGCTTCTTTACTATTAAAGTTCATCATTGTAATTATAAAATCAGGATGCAGCCTCTTTTTCCCATGTTGATTTTTTTCTCTCATCTAAGCACTGTTTGTCTGTCAGAATGCAATCCTGAAATTTTTTAAATGTTTTGGAAAGACAAAAAATTTTATTCTCCAAGGTGTCCATTGCATTAATAGATGTTAGTTTTTTTTTACCTTTATGTGTGCGTTTGCGTTCACGTAAAATAAAACTACCAATATGTAGAATGAATACAAGAGTCCACTAATTTTTCTTGTAAACAACATAAATACTTTCTTTCCATGTTCTCTCCAATTTTTTTTTAAAAACCACTGTAGAGCATTGCAATTCCAAAAGCTGAGCGAAAGGTCTATTTTATTAACTGTACATTACTTAAGTATCCAACATGTCTAACATGTGTAACAAGTTCTAACATGTCTGGCTCTTGCAGCACATATTCCATGCACCACAGTAGAGTGGAATCAGTGTGGATTTGGTTTGAATGTTCGTTTTCAATATTGACTCAGTGGCATAGAATTCTTATGTAGGCATTTATTCTAAATCTATATTGAATTGACATGACTGTGTCTGAATTGGATACGCAACGGTCATCGGTGTTGATTGGGGCTTGTAGACAGTCTGTATCAAATTTGAAGTAAATGTCGGCTGATATAACAAGGCTGGTGTGCAAAGGACTATACTCCTTGACAGCTGAAGTGGGAGGACGAATTCGGCATAAAATGCACAAATGGACTTATGAGCAGACTGCATCAAGGCTCTCACTACCTGGCGGCTGGTGTTTACCCACTGTTGCAGGTGTTTATATAGTGTCAATTCCTGTATACAAACATTGTGGAGTGTCAAACTTCATTTTTCTCCTAACCAACGGTCGTGATCTGCTGAGGAAACCCTTCAGCTTGCTCCCTCAATTTTTTATGTCATGGGTTGAAAATCCTATCATTGTCGACAAGCCTAGAGGATCATATGACCAAATTCATAGTTTTGTAGTTCATGGCAAGGTCCCATTATTTTAACAATTGAAAATGAAAGGTGCATTCTCAAATGGATTCAATGATGATTCCATTCCATTTGTGCTCCTTGTATAGTTTTAAAAAGTATATTTCTTCCGCAAGATGAGATTATTCTCTGCCCCTGTGCCTCAACACCCTTTCACTAACTCTGTCATTAATTTTTCAGAGCTCATGTCAAAGAGGTTGAAGATCAAATTCGCTTGAATAATACTGTCGTCAAGTCGATGCAGGACCAAGTAAAGCTAATGAAGGCGGAGTGCAAAGAGCTATCATTAAAAAGGCTTGAAGTAGAAGAGTATAAGAAAAAAATTGAGTCTTTGAAGAAGTAAGTTGCAATTTTTTTTTGTTCATCTTAAATTAGTGACATTGAATGCGTCCATAAATAATCATTCTGCAGATTGATACTGTTCCAAGTGATTGTGATCCTACTTAATGGGGAAAATAATTGCCCTTTTTGTTGAAAAGAAGAGATTTTAAAATAGCTGTGTATCATATGCTAATGATTTCCAAATACAGTCGTACAATCGTCACAAAAATTACAGAATCATTTTTTCAAAAGGTGGCCATTTTTTAGACTGCAAGGCAACCTTTAAAATGAGCTGCCAGTTTCAGGATGACTAGACAGTGAGATTCAAAAAGTACTAATTTTAAAAATTGCAAATTTTCCCATTTGCTTCATTTTTGATTTATACCAATAAGCACTAAAAAGTGCCGCTTTAGCCAAAGCCCTGTTTCTTGTCATAGATTTAAATTTAAAAAATTTCTCTCTTTAATTATGACTTTTTCACTTTTTTCCCTCTTCTCTTTCCTTAGAGCGAATTCAAGTGCCACTATTTTATAATGCTTTACCTCTTTTATACAGCGTGCAGAGACTGCTTGATGGATCACAGGAAGAATGTGAGGAAGTCTTGAAAGAAAACAAACTAAACCATAATCACCTGGTTAGATCTCTGAATTTGTTCAAACGGTAACTTTCTCGATCTTCTAAGCATAGTTTTATCCTCAGCAAAAGATGATATTTTGAGGTTTTAATATCAAAGCAGGGTTTTCAACCATTTGCAGGATGGAAGATTTTATTTTACTGGAGGTAAAATCATAGGGGCGTCCAATAACATTCTAATATTGCCAAGTTTCACTCGATAAATTATTTATTCACTCCAGAGTTATTGCAAAGTTTTGTTCTTAATTTTTTGTAAATTTTCTCACAGTCAAAAGGAAATTCCTCAAATTTTCTATTTTGAAAAACGCACCCCCCTTTTTGAAAGAGTTATAAAATTAATGCCACTAAGTACGTCTCACTGTATTTTTAGTTTCATTAACTTCAATACGCCTATAACTAGATCTCTGATTTTGGGTGGACAGATGGGGGGGGATAATTTTATATAACCAAAATTGTTGGGGTATTCGACTACAGTTATTGTTTCTTACATTTTTAAGGGTGCAGAGATTACAGTGGAATAACAGGGTGGCAAGCAAACTAATTTGATCTGCATTTCGTCTTTTCCAATAAAGTATGTCTGTTTATCATAAGAATTTAAATGAAATTCAGTTGTATGAGTAGTAGGTTTGGGCTAATTATTTCCAAGAATCCTTGCACAATAGTGTATAAAAAATATTAAAATTAAAACAGTATTTTGGAAGGCCTTGAGCAGTTATAACGACTTTCCCTCCACATTTTTACAGTTTTGACTGGTTTGTTTAATACTATCCAAATTTCAAACGTCATTGCCTACAATTATTAGTAAAGTCATAAAAAGTAAATTGAGGCTATGATTTCATCAAAAAAACCAGCTCTTAAATTCAAACGAAAGATCAAGAAAGTAGATTTGAATTTTTGATAATGCAAGTTTTTCAGCGTGAATTAATTATTTTTCCTTTCTTTCTTTCTTCAGGGAATCAGTAGATCTGAGGAAAAAACTAACGTCTTTGAAAGAAGACAGAGCATCCAGAGAGAAAAAATTAAATGAGCTAGTTTCAAAGCTTGTGGTTATGAAAAGTGATTATCGTAATACTTTAGCCATAAAAACGTAAGTATGCTTTCTAAGCTTCAGGTTAAAGATTTCCATCCATATCCAATGATGGTTAGATAATAGATCAATGATAGATTAGATAATGATAGATAAATATCCATATCTAATGATGTTGTTGTTTATGTTCGTTTCACTTTTTACTTCAAACATAAGTCTTTTACCCAATTAAAGTATTTCAAAACCACTTCCTCCTCTTTCAACAATTAAGGCATGGCCTTGTTTATTAAGCTCTAATACCGAATACAAGAAATAAACAAAACCATTTGTTAAATTAAATAATAAAAAGCAGCATCCCAGATGAATCAATCATTTACAAGAGAGGGTAGCGAGCTTTATGCCCATCTCTTAGCAAGGGTGCAGAAAGCTCAAAGGCAATCAGTCCGCTCCCTCTCTTTTAATCCAAATTTATGATGGGTTTCCTGTAAATACTGTTTTAAAAAAAGCTCAACTATGCCAGAGAAAAAAAAACACTGCAAAAACAAGAACGTTGAAAAAGTCTGACAGAATGACTGGAATTTTGAAAGTTTCTGCATCCTTATAGCAGTCCAGGTAATCTTGTCCCTCGGGGTTGTCCAGTCATTCAAAGTTTTCCCAGTCTCTTCTTATCCATCGGTCATCCTGCATACTGTCTAGTGGGCTGGGTTCCATAGCTTCATAGCATGATCTACTCAAAATGTGGAAAGGTTAAAAATCTTAAATTTTTGCATTGGCACCGGTCGGACAGTAGTTTTAAGTAACACGAGAACAGAAAGTATGCAAAAATATTGAAGCAAGAATTTGATGTCGTAAAACATATAAAACTCTGATTTCAAGGTAATTAAATAGTATCATCATTGTTTCAGTTAAATGAGATCAAAACTGAGCTTTACAAAATTCCTCCCTTACAAAGTTTTTTCAGAAAGTTAATTGCCTTGAACAGGATTGTGAAACCCCTTGAACTTTCTTAAAAAGTTCTTTGTTTATTCCTCAAAGCATGAGTGATTACCGTTTGTGTCTGTGCAAGGACTGTTAGTATGTGTGTTTCTATTTCTCCATCAAAGTTTCCTGGTAAAATAAATATCGGTGAAGAATTTGCAGGAAAGTCACTGTTTCTGGGTGAGAGTTTCCTGTTTGGATTGTATAGCGCTCCGCTGAAACGTCCATAATCCGTTTTGATACTAATTTACTTATGAAGAGCTGTTATATAAGTTTGAAAAAGAAAAAAATTCCACTCCGGCACTTTGGGAAGGATGTGTAAATTTCTGTGCTATGCAACAACGACCGCAATTTATTCAAAATCTGGATATAAGTAGATGTGGTTACAACTTCAGTTGCTTACGGTTGGTTACTGTCTGATTTGACCAGTCAAGGACACATACAGTAATAGTTAGGAGCAACATGAAGAATGAACAGTTGAAATTTTTCCCTCTTTTTTAAGAAATTTATTTGTTTATTTAGGACTTCCTTGTTCTTATTCTTTTCACTCTTTCCATGAAAACTCGTATTCTCCACCCTCAGACAAAAAAAATTGTTTACTTTATGACTAGTGCTTTTATTTTTTCAGGAGATTAGAAGAAGACTTAGAGCATGCTGAAAAGGAGTTAGTGAAGTGGAAAAACAACTGTTTGTCTCTTCAAAAAACCAACGAATCTTTAACAAATGCTAATAGTCCAAAAAGTAATCTTCGAAAGCGGATGATCTTCGAAAGCCCTGCTCCAGCTAATCTCATCGGGCGTAATTTAGATTCTGATTCTCCGGTAAGAATCTTGAATATAAAATTTTATTTATTCAAGTCCTGTTTAAGAGGTTCAATTTTGAAAGCAATTTCAAGCACTCCTGATCCGTTATTGCATGGGATCTACTTTCCTTGTCTCTGAAAAAGGGGAAAGAAAAATGTTGACTATTACCTCAATCTCAGATTTTTTTCTCATTTAAGCTATCACTGATATTTCTCAAAGGAAATGTGACAGTTTTTCCCTTTGTCTGTATTCAATCTGTTTAAAATATGTAAGCTTCTGATTATGGAAAGTTTAAGAAAGCGCTTGAAAATCTATGAAGAAAAGATCTATCTTTGATAATCCATCCTCAAAATTGGAACTGATCCCCAATTTTGCAATTTTCTGATAACGATTATATTACTCTTTTTCTCTCATCACTAGCCAAGAGAAATGCTTTATACTGTTGTATAATGTTCCTATTCTCTCTGCTGTTTCAAGTACTCTGTCAGAATTTTGCATGGTTATGAATATCAGCTCTTCCGTGAGTGAATTTCAATTGCTCGACTTTGTGTGTATCAACTTGTCCAACAAACAGATTAAAAGAATTTGTTTGCTAAAAATTTTTGAGTATTTTCTAAAAAAAAGGTACTCCTCATAAATCTTGGAAAACTCATCAAAATTCTTTGAATGTATGGTTGAAAATCCTTGAATATTGTTTCGGCGACACGACTTCTAGATTATTCAAACTCAGATACTTTTAACTTCTACTTGAAGTTTTTGGAAATAACCAGCTCTTTTAAACTTCCTGGCAAAGTGGATCCAGTTTTTACTGAACATCAGAAACATATTTTTAGGAAAACTAGTGCGATATTCGAATATTTACTCTTTGCCAACGAAAATTCACCTGAAAATTATCAATTCAAAAATATCTAATAACTTAGTACATATTTCTGTTTTGTTTTTCCAGTTTAATGTCACAACATATGATATAACCACTCCCTCCCCAGTCGAAGCCCCAAAAGTTAGACCCTTCATGAGCAAATTGGCTGGCGAAGGTGCTTCCTCCTGCTCCTCGTCTCTGTTGCAAGCTTCAACGAGCAGTTCATCTACCAGCTCATCCAGTAGTGTAAAATCTCCACAGAGTACATCTAGCATTAATACTGTCTTGAGTGATAATAGTAGTAATCGAAGCTTTGGGCGAGCAAACCGTTTCACAGCAGACCCATGGAAAAATATTGGAATAATTCAAGGATGCACAGCTGGACCGGATAAAGTTTACGATGGGCTTGGCGGTCACTCAAAAGTAGACCTTTTCCCGCAACCAAAGTTGGGTCCTTTAGTGAAGAAAAAGAAAGTTTCAAATTTGAAAGTGCAGTGCAAAAAACAAAAAGTGGACAAAGATCTACCCAAAATTAGCTCATTCCTAAAAACATATGACTTGACTGGTGAAAGCGATGATGAAGTGTTGTAAGAAGTTCAGCTTGTAAGTTCTTTAAATACATCTACAAGGAAATTTCAGCGGTAAAGTAATCTTTTCAAAATTAATTATATTCCTGTGTTGGGATGGTTTTTCAGAAACTCTAGCTCAATGTAAATTTTGAAGCATTTAGATGATGCAGTACCCAAGAATTTCAAGTCATCTAATCAGGCTAAAGTCTATCAAATTTATCAACTGGTAAAAGATGTCCCTTCAAGTTTGTCCTTTGGACGTGTATCAGTTCTATTTTTATTTCGATTTTCAAAACTCCTCTTTGAGAGTTTAGAATTTTTATTAGGGAGCAAAAGGTGTTACAGGAGAAGATCACTACACCAAACCTAGTGTCAAACTTTTTGAATTAACTACATATTACTTCAGATACACCATTTTTATGAGGATATGTTTATGTCCTGCTCCGCTACTGCTCTTGTTATTGGTAATTGTCAGTCAACTGCCCAATATTTGGGCTTGTTGAAATGCCTTTATGCAATCAAACCGTCTATTCTAATATCATAAGTCATCAAGGATTTACATTGGCTTATTGATTTTCCTCAACTTGAAAGAAAAGAAAACAACTGCTTTCAAGATACTCTCTCTTAGAGCTAGGTTGATTTATGAGGCTATGATTTGATTTCAATGTTGCCTTAAGCGAGGAACTGCTGAACCATCTCACAAATACAAAATCCTAGTTTTTTCTACCTATGGTCGTTTTAAGATAGCTGCCATTGTTGTGTTTTATTTATAGCTGGCTTAACATACATTATTATTCTGTTGATTGAATTTAATTTGGGTCGTGTTAATCTCTCTCAAACCCTCAATTGTTAAAGATCGTGCAGATTCTACTCAACAGACACTCAACTTCTCATTGTAATCTGTAAATTATCACCTTGTATCACTCTAATCTGTAAATTACAATTAAACTGAAGTGTACTCAATAAAATATTTTCTATGCAGCTTTCTGCACTTAAATACAACAACGCATCAGAATTAACAAAATATAATGAGCACTAACAATGCAACACTAAAGCTGTGCAACTCTTTGAGTCAAATCTTAGCCTGTCCTGTGTATTGTTTCGGTCGTTAAACTATTGTATTAGAGAAAGACGGCTCTTTATAGTTTTTTGTTGCAACAATTAAAAGTAATAAATTTAGAACTATGCAAGAAGTTCTCCTACATCTTCATGCCTTATTTTAATGTTTGTAGTAGAAAGACTATGCTGTGATATTATTCGTAAGTTTCCAACTGATTTTTTTCTATTTAAACAAATATAAAAAAATAAAACAGTCCTGATCCTACGCTTTTCTATGCTATAGCTGCATTACCATAGACCCTTTAGACTAAATCGAACAGGTAGGAATCAATTCACATTTTGGTCAAAAATGATTCAGGAGTAGTTTTGAACTCATAGACTTTCGGAGTTTTCATAGTAGGTACCTTTTGCATTGGAGTTCTTACCCTGTTACAAGTAATGAACAATTAATATACCTTTGGCATCCCAGAAAACGATTGCCATTATTTTGCGCCCTGACATTCTTCCGTCAACCGCCTTTGATTTTTTGGGTCTGGATAAATAAAGACCCATGGCGGAAGGAGGTGAGCGCAAAAAAAAGTTAAATATAACAACACAATGATCAAATTTCAAAAACTTTAAAGCGATAGAAAACTGTGAGTATGACCAATAAAATTATTTTTTTGACTTTGCTCTCTCTATTATAGTTATTGAGTCGTAAAATGAGGAAATGTAATTTTTGGAATACCCTCGTATTTTAAACAATAAAATCTTGTTAATGTGAGTTCCTTGTTTTAGTGAAGATAAAGAGTAAAAGTAAGAGTTTTTAGTGAGTAAATAGACTTCTACTGAAAAATCACTGTCCTTCCCCTAAGCTCAGATCACTGAGGCATTACCCAGTGCATGGTAGTGATAACAAAAAGGGTTCTTCATCTCCTGTTTTTTTGTTCTTTTTTTGCATGTTTTAATTTTCGTCCTGCTCAATTTGGGAAATTATTTCTGTACCTGTATTGATTTTTACGAAGAATGTAGTAAATAGTAATGTTACGTAAAAAAGCTCTTTCGCTGTTTATTACCTGTACCTAATTCTAAAATAAACGTTGGTCGTTTTCAATAACTACTGAAAAGAAAAATGTAAGTATAATTGTATTCGCTCTTTTAGTGTATTTTCCGAAGGAAATACACTATTGCATTCTCCCATGATGTTGGACTCAGACCTGAGACATTGTGAAGAGCACCGATCACGGGTCGTAGATCACGAAAATATATGCTATTCAAATTCATGTGTATATATATATGTATGTATATATAAGATAAATGTGCATGTATGTATATATATATGTATGTATGTATGTATTTCCGCCTTTTGAAGATTTTTCGATTTTTGAGTGGTTATATCTTTCTTACGTTGATAGATATTTTGACCAATTTTTTTGCATTTTGTAGAGACTCATTAAGACTACTATTCTGCGAAAAAAAATTGAAATTTGAGGCAATAAATTTTGAGGGGTGGGGCTCGAAAGTGGGGGGAGGTGAAATCTTGTCCACTCGATAACTCGAGCGAAAATGAATATTTGATTATATTATTTAATTATATGAGCTGAAATTTTTATAGGTGGTAGTTCTCCCCTAGGACTGGTTTGGTATTGAATTTGAGCTAAATCGGCCGAGCCGTTTAAGAATGGCGAGCTTTGAAAGTTTTAGGCGAGGGGTGCGCGGCATGAGGGGAACCGACCGGAGCAGGGCCGCACAGTGGGTCGGGGGAGAAAGTTTTTGGACAAGCTGATCGTCGCACAGTGGGTCAGGGGGAAGAAGTTTTTGGACAAACTTTTCGTCGCACAGTGGGTCAAGGGAAGGAAGATTCTGGACTAATTGTTCGTCGCACAGTGGGTCAGGTTAAATGATCTGTTCTTGAACAAAATCTCACCATTTAACCGTCACAACCTTTCGCAGCGCGTTCGCTGGCAACGTAC